GATACTGTCTTACCCCCACCAAAAGATCTGCTTGGAGATTACGCCATAGCTGGTTATTGAATAGAATGCATGTCAGCAAGGAGGTTTGATGAAATACGTAAACGGTATCGGTAACTTAGACTTGTTTTTTTTCCAGGAAAGTCTGAGATTTTCCATCGGGAGATGTCGACAGCGTCAAAGGAAAACGTCAGCAAGGCCTGTGTCATCCAATGACGTCACCAAGACCATCCAATAAGATCGTTCTGACGTCATCAGTCACGTGACACTTGAGTACTTTGAGCTCAGAATTCTAGCCGTTGAAAATGAAGCTACGAAGTAGCCAGTTAACAGATGATCTGTACATATTTGTATATTTGAATGCTCTTTACTGATTGATTGACAAATATACCTTTCGGTATGAAATATATCTTATTGATATATGAATATTTTAAAATGTGTAGCATAAACGGCAGTTAACCTGTAAGTTATATTGTTTTTGTTTTATATCACTTCAATATTCTATAAACATATAACATTTGTTTAGGCTGTCATTATTAATGACAACGACCACTTCATATTGAACATTCTACGCCCAATCGGGTTTTGTATATATAGTATACAGCTATTGTGTGACATAAGAAGAAGATAACTATACGTATGTGAGAGAAAGTGAAATTACGAAGTCCTATCTCTGTTAAGTTAAACTGTGACAAGTACTTGTTCACAGAATGATAAAGTATGAAGTGCTGTTATTGTAAATAAATGTAGAACTTACCTGATATGTTCATCATATTGGGAACTTACTGCACACTGTATTTCTGACAAGGAGGTTTAAGAGGATCGGATAGGGAGTGAAAGAGGATAAGACAGAGGGAGAGAGAGAGATACAAATAGAGAGATAGTAGCGCCTGGTTCATGTAGTAGTAGTATGCTTCATACTAAGAACTACTCTCCTAGCAGAAGTTTGGGTTTTGGGTTACTTTTGGTGTGTTTTTAGACTTTTTATTGGGGTTTCTTTTTTGCACTGAAAGACAGAAAAATTCCAGTCAAAAAGAAACCCCGATAAAAAGTCCAAAAACACGCCAAAAATAACCCAAAACCCAAACCTCTGCTTGGAGAGTAACCATGAACATTATGTAGGGACCTTGATACCACACATATAATTTTCCTCACTACACGTTTGTTCTACATATAGAAAGATTTTCCCAAACACACACGAGAGTTACCCTTTTTTCTGATTCCTCTTACAAATTTCTTGGAAACCGTCTGTCCTAATTGACCGGAAGTGAACACTATAATGCACCGGAAGGAGAAATGACTAGGAGAAGGGACCAGATCACCATGGGAACGAGAGCAGGACTGTTTTATAAGCAGGTGACTCATTGGCAACAAAAACGTAGGGCAAACAGACTATACAGCGCGAACATCTGATTATTCCATCCTGTTTATCACAGGGGGTGTCTTGGGGAATTTTTAACAACTTACTTTTTTGTAACATTGCTGTGATTGTATGTTTAGATTCCTGCTTCATATAGTATAATGTGTAAAGTGAAATAAGTATATTTAAGGCCTTTGTAACTATTTTACATATTTACTAGTATTGAAACGCGATGTATTTTATTATTTCATCCCCTTTCTTTGCAATGGTTCGTCCCGTTATTTGTGTCCAGTGGGGTGGAGTGTGTTGTTTATTCGGAATAATCCACTTGATCTGAAGGGATAGCCAACATCTAGTAGGCGGGCAGTCCGTATATGTGTCAAAAGTGCAGCGGAACATTTGATCTACAGAACGCCAAGCTAAACAGAGCGAGCGGAGAAACACCACAACAAGAACAGGTAGGTGAAAACGTGACTTTGTTTTTACTTCGTCACCTCCAAATTAAGATACACTCTTCTATATAGATGCATGGTCTTGGATCAGAAATTGGCCTGGGCTTCTGATGAAATATATACATACGGGAGTGGACAAAGATTTACAGCTACAAAGGGCTTCAAAACGGCCAGATGTAAAGAATAACTCCACTGAAAGAAAGCGGAGTCCTGTGTCAAAAAGATTCCCAAATCGCTTTCTTATGCATGCAGGCACTTCCCGTCAATTCATATTTTCTCTTTGCAATTGAATCAAGCCTAGAAGGGAAACACGTGTATGTGTGTTAACGCGAGTTTACACTATTTTAATATTAGATATTTTAAAACCATTTGCCCTCTGCGCTTTAGAAAGGTGACATGATGGACTTGAAAAGTATTCAGCCCTCTACAATGATAGAAGTCAAAGTTTTTTCATTAGATAAAGTCAAGGCCAAACAATCTGTTGTACTCTTGTGAAATAATTTAACGGATGACTACTTCTTAGGAACGTCTATTCACGATAACAAAGAAGCTGGTCGGGTATTTTATCGTGTTTTCCTGGTAGTTAGTTAGCACTGAGGCGGAGGCCCATATACTGTCCCGGTCTGTGTAGTCTCCACCAGACTCCTTTTGTAGGCTGAATAAATCGTAGAAATCGGCCCAAAAAATATAGTTGGCCAGACGAGTTTCCTGGACAACTATATAGTTTCCTGGTCGGGAAACTCCTCTGGTCTATTATATCCCCTTTTAGGCCGATTTCTACGATTTATCCGGCCGGCAAAAGGAGTCTGGTGGAGACTACGGCCTGTGGGGCTGTCAACATCATTCCATGCTTCGATGTACACAAGTATTCGTGACTAAGCCGTTTCTATGCGTAGCCACCTACATAGAAATCGAAAAGACCCATGAAAAGAAACATTGAATTTTTGAAAGCTTGATGTTAATTTGTTTTGATGACTAACCCTAGAATGCCTGCAATAATTCATTGTGTGGAATTTTTAAGGAGGAAGTTTAAATCCCATGGACTATGCGTTAACTTTGGAATTTTTGGCCGCCTTACAAGCCATTCCGCTGCCATAGTTACAAAGCCTCCTCTTCTGCTATCAGACTCAGAGGAAGTCAGAACGAAAGTATGGTGGCAGGAACATGTAGGCATATTGTGTGCTCTTTACCGCGATCTATAGCTTTCCGTGTTGACTTTAATACTCTGAAGTAAAAATCAGACAGTGTGGCACTGGTAAATTGTATTAAAGGACGATTTTTGCCTCCAGCTTGGCGGCTTTCATTATTTTCCTTCACAAACAGTTGAACTGCCTTTAACTATCATAGAAACGAAGTCATTGCCAACAACGAGTAAGGTATGGTTTCCTTAGCAAACTGAATTGTATTTGCTGTGTTGACCTAAGTTGCTATACACCCACAAACAATAAAGGTGCCAACTGTATTATGTAAACGTCTTTTTGGCAAATACCTCCCGCAAACCTCCTTTTGACGACGCGTCATTCGGCGGGGTCTAAAATAGAATTAAGTATTCAAGAGGTTCAGAAATATGCTAAGCGGCCTAAATGTAATTACTTTGATGCTGAATTACACGAGGAAGGTAGAATTACCAAGCCGACGGTAGAGTGACCGTCTGGTCGTTTCAGTGTTACTGCTAGAGATTGCGACCGACAAGTAAGTATTACTCAGTTTATTTGTAACAAATTATAGACAAAATAAAGTTATTGCTTGAATTTTTCCGCCAAATTATCAGTTTAATCTGACTTTCACTTGTAATATTTGAAACGTCTACAGATCGGCTAAGAGCTCTCACAAACATAGATTTGAATATCCATCTTCATTAGACACAGTTAGATATAATACAAGTAGGTGGGAAAATGTGTCGTTTATTAAGTAAATGTAGACCGAGTAGATGTTGTTGATATATGCTCTGTATATTTATATATAATACAATTAGATGTTATTAATGACTGCTTTATGCATTCAAGTCCTTGTTCGAATTTCATGTTAACATGCATATTGAGAGTGTAAATGGCACTTGAGCATATGAATATTTTAACATACATAAATATTAATATTCTAAAATTGTCTCGATACCGAAGCTTATGTCCATCAAATATGTGTGAGAAATTGCAAGCTGAAAAAGGGTGCCGTATATACAGATAATACGTGTGTGTGTGTGTGTGTGCGCGCGCGCGTGTGTGTGTGTGTGTGTGTGTGTGTGTGTGTGTGTGTGTGTGTGTGTGTGTGTGTGTGTGTGTGTGTGTGTGTGTGTGTGTGTGTGTGTGTGTGTGTGTGTGTGTGTGTGTGTGTGTGTGTGTGTGTGTGTGTGTGTGTGTGTGTGTGTGTGTGTGTGTGTGTGTGTGTGTGTGTGTGTGTCTATGTGTGTCTGTGTGTTTTATGTGTGTGTCTGTGTGTGTGTCTGTGTCTGTGTCTGTGTCTGTGTCTGTGTCTGTGTGTGTGTCTGTGTGTGTGTCTGTGTGCGTGTCTGTGGGTATTATGAGGAAGAGCAAGACTATCATGGTACACGTAATGGTAGTTTACACACAGTTAATGGCCTGTAATTTGGTTATACAAGCTACGCAAGCAGCAGTTGTAGGTCATGTCATTCTAAGACCAAGTCATATTTGTGCTGTCATTCTGTACTGTACAAAAGAGCCAATCACTGCTACGATTGCCCTTTTTTCTATGTATCGTATAACAGGCTAGTCAATACAACGACATGGTCTATTTACCGTAGTCATATTAATGTGTTAAGTGGAGCTATTAAAATACCATAAAAATATCAAACCCCATCATATGACCAAAAGAACAACAGCTAGAACTCACAGAAGGAAAGAGAGGGTCATGGAAAATATCGTTGTAAATTACATATTGAAGAATTGTATGCACACAATGCAATTCTATCAGTGGAAGAGCACAGCGTTTACTTTGGCCAAGGTGCCCGGCGACTGGCGTTTTTAAACATGACAACATCTAAGAACTGGCTCCTCAGTATTTTGTCATTACACCTAAAAACACACACACAAAGAGACAAAGCAAGAATAGGCCAAAGCCACATGTGAGCTTGAAGATTATGTTTGACTCAAGACAGGCGCCACTGTAACAGGTGTACTATCACCTATGTTGTTAGTTACACTAAACAGTCGTACACCAATATAAACACGTACAAGATTTGCTAGCTTATACAGCCCAGTGGCCGATAACAAGATAAAGCACGACTGTTTACACTTTTCCTAACCTATCCTTTGTGTAACACCTATGAACCGACTCCAGCTCTTTAAATCATGATACGTCCCAGGCGTTACCAAGGAGGACATATTTACGGTAGATAAGGACGCTGTGTGGTTACTAGGCTCTCGGGTGTACGTGTAGACTTGAATGGCTTGCAATTGACGTAATATTGTCATCGATTAAATGTGAGGGTGCTGGCTTTACAAGTACATGTACATAGCCTTGTATCCGTGCCTACTTTAGCTTGTAGCTGTGATAATATCCCAAATCAAAACACTAAAATCAAAATTAAGCGTTTTATCAAAAGCGTCTGGAAGCGTTAGCAAGAAGAGGCATTAGCCCAATAATTCTGTAAGATTTTACGTCATTCATTTAAACGCCTTAACGTTGACAGTGCAACATATGCCTCGACTTTCTTCGTACAATTGATTAAATCTGCAGAAATGTGTTTTGAAACTTGTATATAAAGGATTTGAAAACGTGATAGACGTCACCTCACGACATGACATGTAGTGGAAAAACTGGTCTTCCTGCTTTGGTTGAAAAAAAACTCAACATGTCAGTGTTTTTTCAACCGTTTCTAGAACAAATCTGATCCAACGATCCATTCCAAAATATCCTCATTGACTTTTTTATTAAGATTATTAAATGTTGAAGTCGTAAATTAGCCTTCAATGACGTCATAATTCTTCTCCTCTCTTTGATGACAATGGTTTAGCCCATAATCACCCCTAAAGAGTGTACAGATAAAGGTGGTCATCAGTCCACAAGTGACAGGTGTCAGGAACCATTAGTCGGTAACCCACCAGGGAGTCACCGTCCTCACAAACAGAAAGTTGGACTCTGGTGATTTATAATCCTTTCCATGCGACATTTGGAGCAACTACAACCACGATAGAACGAAGTTTCAGGATCGCGAGGTAAATTTTTTGTCTTGTTTGTTGTTGTCTGTTCCTTCTTTGATAGACTGTGGTATCCTGGTGAGCTTCGAAACCACCTGTTAGAGTAGAGCAGTATAATAGCACATTTGTTTTTGTTTAGACAGTAGCCTGTGTCTGTATGTGTGAGGAATTCCTAACAAGTTAGCCACTAGATGAGCGTGAGTTTCATTAAATCACAACGTATCGAGCTTAGCAATTCTAGTAACAGCAAGTATACTCGATATGGAGTGCGTTTCTGTACTTCAAGCCTAGCTGCTCCTTTATTTGTTTATTTGGGTTTTTCACAATGTGTAAGGGGGCAGAACATGTGCCATTAGTGACGTGAATTAGTATATTTGCACTACTTATTCTCAGGGCATCAAGTATACTGAGAGAATGTCAGTGACTTGAGTCTCGTGAAAGAAAATGTAAACGATATCAGTGTGTGCAAAAAAATACGCTTTATGCTGAGAATATTGGTACGATATGTCTGCTATATTTTCATGTTGAACATCATTCTGACACAGTCAATCTACTAGTAAAAAGATGTATTGAACATTTTGACCAGATCTTGATTCGGTAAATGTCAGAAAAAGTGCTTGCGGCATTTTCCCACATGTCTATGTATACTATTGTTTTGTAGAGACACGACCAGTCAACAGGCGTTGCTGTCAACAAAGTGCAGGAGACTCACAAATCAAATAAACACATTCCAACATAACCTCAGATATGTCTAACATGCCCCAAGCTTGTAGAACTAGCTGTCGCGAGTTTTCTGTGGAGTGTTATCTTTCAGAGCCATGTACAGGGTACACATTGTCCACTGAATTGTTTCAAACATGTGTGATAGCAACAAGAAGGGTACTAGGTGTTGAAGTGTGTAAAGTCTGTAAAACGATTTTAAGTTTCTAGACATTCGCAACGAAAACCTATGTTAATATCTATGCATTTTAGATGCCGTGTTTTATCGAACGACACGTACTTTTATCATAACTGTCTCTGTGGACTGAGATATGCATCATAACTTAAATTCATAATTAAGATTTAAGCTCAGGATGATTATGATAAATAGTGCAAACAAAGAATGTGTATCTCCTGTCTTGTGCCTGGCGCCAATGATTGATTGTTTTCCAGATTAAGCCCACCCTATAAGGTGTAATTATGTTAGATAAGAAGTATTCGCATACCAGCTATTAAGGGGAGAAAAGCACTGTGAAGTATTTTGAAGAGCCTTTGACGTAATCAATTTACCACAATAAAAGTGACGTAGATATGTAGTAACAGCCCCTCCCTTTGCAAAAAATCTTAATGTTGTCGTCTCTGATCAGCAACTAGATAAAGCATGGAAAAAGGAGATCATAGCATGGAGGTTTAAAGACTGTATCCTTGATCAGAGGAAAAGAACTTTGCGAAAATACTAGTAGTATAACATGACATATAAGTTAAATGCTAGTTTTGTGGCTGTATGTTCTGTGGACGATGTCTTTGTTACGAAGAGGGAAACTCAAGCCCGGAAATATTAAATACTCAAGGATGTTGACTGAAGACTACTGTAGACAGTCGTGACGCCATCACGCAATATCTGGGAATTTTAAAACATTACGGCATGAAAATTATGGAAATTAGAACTCTGTTTTGTTTGTAGGAGCCCCAGAAGACATGTCTGAAGACAGCCGTGACGTCATCAGGCAGAATCTGGGAATTTTAAAACATTACATCATCCAAATTATGCAAATTCGAATTTTGTTTTGCTTGTTCGGANACCCCCCCCCCCAGAAGACATGTCTACCGAAGACAGCCGTGACGCCATCAGACGGTATCTAGGAATTTTAAAACATTACGTCATCCAAATTATGCAAATGAAGAACTTTGTTTTCTTTGTAGGAAGCCCCACAGAAAACATGTCTACAGAAGACAGCCGTGACGCCATCAGACGGCTCCGCGGCGGGATTAACGGCGTGTTGGACGCCTTGAACGACGTGGTGGATCCTGGGAAGGATCAGCTGCTGATGCAGGTCTTCAGGAGGAAGCTGGAAACAGTGGTCAGTTATTAACCTTCTCCCTGCTGCCTAACCCCATTAACGATACAAATCTGGTGCCGAATGGCTACGTTAACAAACTGAAGGTTAAAGGCACACGTCACACGGAGCATGTGGAAGAAGAGTACTCTCCAAGCAGAGGTTTGGGTTTGGGGTTGTTTTTGGTGTGTTTTTAGGCTTTTTTTATCGGGTTTCTCTTTTGCACTGGAATTTTTTTCACCCAAAAATGGGTTGGGTTGTGCGAAAAAAAATCCAGTGCAAAAGAGAAACCCCGATGAAAAAGCCTAAAAACATGCCAAAAATAACCCCAAACCCAAACCTCTGCTTGGAGAGTAGAAGACGCGATAAATCCATCTTCTGTGCAATGAAGAATTTTACGGTAAACCTACTAAATGTCTTCGCCCCTGAGGCGTTTCCAAAAACTTTCCTTGACAACCATGCATAGTAATGAGTCTGGACATTTCGGAATCATATTGACGAATTACTAATACCTTTATAGACCACTACGACAACAGCTTTCTTTTAAAATGATACAATCTCTGTATACACAACAGCGATAGTATATGCAAAGAGCAACGGTTATATGCAAAGAACAAAGAGCAACGATTATATGTTTCAATGATACATGGTCATTTTGCTATGAAACTCATGTATGAATGCATGTGTTTCTCTTTTAAATTGAATATGCCACGGTAACGATAGTGAAACATTCGCAGCCGATATTCTTCTGGAAATCTTGTCGCAATTGTTCGGTTAGTGCTGCACACAAACCCAGTCATTGGGAAAATGATTGGGGCTGGTAATGGGGATAATTGGTATACTGGTCTTTTAAAAAAAATGTTAAATGCCTCATTGCTGTTAAAAGGGAACACGCTTTATTTAAGTTCCTAAGGGTAATCTTTTTGATATACTAGTAATTCAGTTGGGCAGAAATTACATACCCGCTGGGGTAACCTAGATAGACTGGGAATGGAAGAATAACTAGGAGCAAATTCTTGACCAAATTCTTGAGGAAAAAATATCAGCCAAATGTTGTAATGAATGAAGAATGTGCGTTAGCTTGCAATGGAATTTAAGCGACGTTTCATCATATTTGAATTGATTGGATTGAATTGAATTGAATTGAATTGAATTGGAAAGGTAAAATCGTAACATCACATACGTAACGTAAGTTTTTGCTTGTGTCCATGTGGGACTAAAGAAACAGGTGGTTGTTGTAATGACGTCACAGTTTCCTCTAGCGTCACAGTTTCCTTGCCGGAAATGACGTCACTCTAATTTCCTGTCCCCACAGGAGCAAGGGAAGTGGAAGAACATCCGTGAACAGTACATCATCGACGACGGGGACAAGGAACAGGTCAACGGAAACTCGTCGGATCCATGGAAACTGTTCATTGATCTCATCAACCGAGTCGAGCAGTGCAGGGATGCAGTACTAGCGGATGTCACGGTGAGGCGCTATTTCTGGCCGCACGTCAAGTTACGTTTGAAGGAACTTTGGGCAATGCTAGCGCTACCATTTTCCTGTGTCTGAGTCCGCTGTACATAATAAGATACGATGAAACATGCTTATAAAACTTCACTGCACATCCAGCGACTAAATCAACTCAAATCTTTATCAATTCTAATATCAAACCTCGCGTTACAGACTGAAAGTCTGAATTGAGCTGACAACAAACAATTCGTGCACTGTCATATCTGTGCAGTCGTGCAAAGGGCTTTCAAACATTGTGGCATTTAAACATCGAAAATAAGTTTCCAAATTTAGAATGACAGGTACCGGTACGGTGTTAGCATTAAACCCAGTGCTTTGAAAGAAAAATCTGAACCGAAGATTGTAAGTTCTTATCGTCTTACTGTTGTAAATGTAGTTCATCTAGCCTCGGGAGAAATAGACAACAACCATTATGACAGATGATTACATATAATGAGGAGTCTCATCAAAGGAACAAAGATATGAAAGGACGCATAAAATCTTCTAAAGACGTCATTCTTTCCTGAACAACTGGTCAATTTGTCCTTGTAGTGTCTTTTCTTTGTTTTGTTCGTCTTGCAAGTTGTATCAGATTGTATGTTTGTAGTATTAGTACGGTAAGTTATTCTTCTTTGCGTGCGTTGCGGATGTATTTAGTATTACTGTAAACTAAGGGTTAGTATTACTGTGTTTTGCTACAAAGCATTTCCGCTAACTATTGTTACTGTACAACCTTACGAGTTACTAACGGTGACGATTATTCTTCATCGGTACTGTGTAAGCAAACAGCCCTTCTTTGATTGAGGTCGGGTTAAGGGTCATCAGAAGAAGACATAAACTATGTACACAGTAACACACACAACAACTCCATAAATCTCACACTCACTGACAAGTTTCCGACGTGCAACATTTCAGGTATTCCTGCTGCTGTTTACCTTGTGTTATTAACACGGAAAAACGTGAGTCACTTCCCTGAGAAGCTATGATAGGACATGCCCTGGGGCGTTTGGCGGTATCCGGGCGAAACACCCCTCAAAACAAATTGTCAAAACAGGCCAGACATTCCACCTGTACATACATGTAGGACGCCATTGTGTGTATCAGGCGGCAGAACTGTTCGTTTTCTGGTCTTTCTAAAACTTTCGGGACTTGTATCTAACTTGTCGAGTTAGGTGTTAGATTGTCTGGTACATTTTCTGACTGATTTTGTGTCTTGGGATCCCCAGAGACTGTCGGAAAGGGAAGAAAAGTGGCTCTCGCAAAGGCAGTTTCTTCAACGTAAGTACCCAACGTCCATAATTCATTTATCCAGCTTTTACTGACAAGAGAGCATCGCACAGTTAGTTATAAACACAGTGGTAAACTTGACGCAAGGTTATATGACGACAGGATGACTGAAAGAACACCCGTAGGGATGAGGGGTGTTTGTCGTCTGTAGATATTTAATGAGAGGGAGGGGGGCTTCGTACACCTGTCCTTGTATTCGTGACTTGTCACATTCATTCTGTACATATATCCTCCGTACTTGTCTAAAGCAAACGTAGATCACATGTTTGCCGACAACGATCTTTCTTTTTTTTCCTTTCAGAGGACGCTGCGGACGCTAGAGCGGCCCTCTCCAGTACCAAGTACAAGTGTGATCAACTAGAAAAAGAACTGAAGACGACGAAAGCGACACTCGCCAAAACACAGGAAATCCTGATCGGAAAATCCAGCGAAATTGAATCGTAAGTCCTCATCTTGTACACAGATGTACGTGCATTTGTGTTGTGTTAGTGTGAAGGATATGGTTTAAGAATTGTGTGTTGACGTCATATTTGGAACCCATCCCTTCCTTTGACTTCCTGTTCCTCAGCAAATGTTTGAAATTCCAAAAGAAACACAGAATGCCTTAATGTTAATAGAAACATGCTCAGTACGTAGGACCTAAGAATATTCTGTCTCCATTCTTTTTTCATTGAAGAAGCAATACAAAGACAAGGACAAAGTGGGACTGCACTCAAGTTATACGCTTATTTTAACAGCCCCACTTGACACTTAACTTAAAATTGAAACAGGTACAGCCAAAGCTATTTGCATATCTGTACAAATATATAAATACACAACTATATGAATTCTCTCTCCATGATACGTGACGTGACAAATGAGATCCTGATATTTTAAAGGTTACTGAAAACAGCGCCAAAGACAACTTGGTGTCACTCGATATAAATAATGCATGTTTATCCCTAACCTGACCCTGACACTCTTAGTAGTCTTATTCTTGGGGAGTCAATCTTCACATTTTGATAGACTCCTTTAGTACATACGGACAAAACACGATCTCTTTAACATGAAATACAACCATTTATGAACTCTAAGTGGTGACGTTGGGAGGCAATAAACGCTCAAGGACCATAACTGGTTGCGCAGCAACGATTTATAAACGGGACGCCATCTTTGACCCAAGAGAACTAAAAGGTCATGTGTGCTGAGAGCACTTAAACGCAGGGTGGTTGAACAAACACACGGAAACTACCTAATGACAGGTGTCGTTAATTATATTCCGTTGCCTTCGGTGAAACACGTTTCAATTCATATGACATGTTGTTTTGAATGTTCAGTAGTGTAGTGTATACTTACTACATGTTTGCATTTGTGATGCCATGTTTGATTTGATTGTTGAGACAAACATTTAAGTCCGTCATTCGCTAATCGACATAACATGTGACAATCATTGCAAACATGGCGACCCGTCAACAAATATTGATCAGCGGAAACATGCACGCTTCCACGCATCACTGAAAGTAGGGTGTGGCAGAGTTGGTTATATGAAAGTTTGATCGTTTTTGTTGTACTTTCAGCTTGAGACGAGCGGGGACTGTGGAGATTTGGGGCATGGAACAGACGAGGTTTACAGACGAGGCAGCGCAAAGGTACATGTAGGGCGGTGTTCCTGATGTTGTAGATACTAACTGAACTGTAGGTTCACGCTTCGTGTTTGTTGTCAATACTTGAAAGTGTAAAGTCCACAAAGCCACGCATTGAGAAAACGTTTCAATGGAGGGAATGCGTACTCTTCATAGCTTTTAACAGATGCATTTTCTTTGTTCAATATATATATATATATTAATTGATATGAATTCAGTATTTCCAGCAAACATGAATGTTTTATTTTGTATTTCTGCCATACAAGTTTTACTATAGGGGACTGTCAATGGAGGGAATGCATACTCTATCTTCACAGCTTTTAACAGATGCATTTCCTTTGTTAAAAATATATCTATGAATTTAGAATTTCAAGCAAACACGAATGTTTCGTCTTTCTGCCACACCAGTTTTACTATAGGGGAACTGTCAGTGGAGGGAATGCGTACTCTTCATAGCTTTTAACATATGCATTTCCTTTGTTCAAACTATATCTATTAATTGACAGAATTTAGACTTTCAAGCAAGCATGAATATTTTGTCTTTCTGTCGTAGAAGTTTTACTCTATGAACTTACTGGAGTATATTCTAGAAAACAATTTTCATCTGGATGATAAAGTATACCATAACATGAGAGATTTTTTTCTGATGCAGGGAAGAGGAATTATTAGCCAGACTCAAGCAAGTCGAGAAGGAAAAGGAGGACATCAAGGACAGGTTGCAGAAGAAACTCCGGGTAGGAAGAAGTACTTAGTTATTTTTAATTCGTCAGTATCAATGGTTTCTTCGCTGTGTAGTTATGATATTGGTCGCCAGGTGGCAAAGAAAATGATATTGCTGTTGAATTTGAAATAGTAAAAAATGACCTTTCACTCTTTCAGGACCAGGAACATCAGATGAAACTGTTGAGATTGAAGGATGAGGTAGCAATCAGAAAACCAAAGGATGGTAGGTCAAGTTATCACAATACTGTAGCTATTTATGCACTTTGTTCAATTGCAATCAACACAGATTTAAATGAACGATGTATTTGCTAAACTGCTAATCTTTAAATTGCAGAGGTTGAACAAGACTTGGAAGATACAAGAAGAAAGCTATTCAAAACAGAAAAGGTAGGCTGCTCTCATGATTTTTCTGTATCGTAAGGGCGAAGACGTTTCGTTGAGAATCAAAATTTCTTCATTGAAAACATGGCGTGCATCCTTTAACTCGTTCTTTTCCTTCCCATCAAGGATCTCTTGAATGCAGAACGAGAAATGCAGTTACAACAGAAGTACTTTGTCGGCTTTATGAGGGGGCTACAGAGAGATTTCAAGTATGTATGATTTCAACTTTCTACTGATCATATTACGAAACATTAAATTCTATCAGCATTTCTGTCTTATGAAAAAGGACAATGGCTAGTTTTCCGCAATACTTGTACAAAATTGTCACGTCGGTAGCTTGTTGTTTGCTTTTTTTTTATTCAAACATTTTTTATGAATAGACATGGTGATAGTCAGCACACTCAATTTATATCAACTTATGCCGCCACCAACGCAGAGGACGAATACAGGACAAGACAATACTCGGGAAAGTCGTGTGAAGTGCCTTTCCCAAGGGCACAAGATTGCTTGCTTACTAAGCACCTTTGCAATGGTATAAACTGTTTGTCACTACAAATTTGTTTACGTTCCTCAGAATCCTTTTGGAAAGGAGAGAACAAAATGGCGGCGTCGCGGCCGCCAAGGATGTCAGGAACATGCAGGAGAAACTGGACCAGATCCATGATGCAGCGCGGGAGGGCAAACTGGCTCACCTGCGGGCCGACATGCCGACTCACTACCTGGCTCTGGACACCGATCTCGGGGCACACCCTCTCGGAAACAAGCTGTCCACCAACTTTAGAAATGGGTAAAGAGTCTCTAGTCTTGTATCAATGCCCTCAGTACAGGCTTTCTATCACGTGTACGTAAGTTACACATATAAGACCCCCCCCCCTCCTAAAACAACCTCTACATAAAATTAGCTTTGAACTAAGCTCCTTGCTGTTTAGTACAAAAATGGTCTTTAAAAAGAGTGAAGAAACACGTGAACTATATAATCAATGATAGCCTTATATGTTCGCCCCTCTGTATGCAATAGATGTATTGTATCACTTCTGTAAAGTTGTAGTGTTTATACGACTTTATCATGTAAACTACATGTACTGCACTTAGTCCACATGGGTATGGATGTGCAAATGAACATATGATTGCCATTGTCATTGACAAAAATTGGAACGCCCCCCCCCCAACTTACGTTTAGGTTATTGGAGCCGTTGACGCCCAGACCGGGTAGCAGCGTCTCCTTGCGGAGCAATAATAGCGGGTCAACACCGAACGTCTCCCGCCCGACCAGCAGTTACCTGCGGCCGGAGGTCAAGAACAACATCAAGGCCTCAAGTACGCCGAACATTAGGATGGAAGAGGAAAAGAAGGAAAATGGTAGGGTAGTTATAAATACGTTGACATTTTTGTCGTTCTTTCATCATCATTCCTTCCTTCCTTCCTTCCTTCGATCATTCCTTCTTTCCCTGTTTTCATCGAGTGCTGACTTTCCTTCTTTGCTTTGGTACGTCCTTCGTTTCCCCATTCAAGGGTTTTGCTTCCTTATTTCCTGCATTTATTCTGTTCTTGTGTCACTTTGCTATTTGACTTCTCTTCATATATCGATGAAGTTGTAATTTTCTTGACCCTTTTCTTTTAGTTATCTGAGCAAGGAGACAAATACGGGAAAGTCCTTATCAAACGCGTTACCTACGAAGGAAGTTGCTTACTTGGAACAGACTGCACACTGAACATGTACTATAGGTGTGTTTCTTGGTAAAATACTGCAATTTTAGGACTAACTGAGAGGTGGCGCTCTTTCCCCTACAGAACACCCTGACCTGGTGCACAAGATGACGGGGAGAATAGACATGATCGCGGTGAAGGCACAGTTCCCCTACCTGCTGGAGCAGGAGGTCCGGGAACACTACCAGCACTTCAAACAGTACGACAGGAATAACGACCTGCATCTGGATCTAGCTGAGGTCAGGGTTCACAATCTTCCCAACATCATCTTTTGATTTGTCGTTATTCTTTAGCGTATTTTCGAAGTAAATATCGGAGTTACGCGTATAAAAAGTTGACTTATGCCCAGGAGCACCTGTCTTGCATATCCTTCGCCATGCATGTCATCAGACTTACGAGAATTATTTCATCTTTGAGTGCTTGATGCAAGTCCACCAAAGCAGAGCATAAAACATACACGTTTTTCATATTTTATGTATGTTCCAGGTTCTACAAGCTTTGACAGCTACAATAGGGTACAAGTTCACTCCTTCACAAATTAAGGTATGTGTTCGTTCGTATCTACTGTGTAGAAATTCCTAACGGTCGGCAATTTTTGAAGCCGTTGTGTTTTGATGATAGGAAGTATATTCAAAGAGGCTAGTATGTCTCCTTGATATACGCAGACTAAGAGGGGACAATGTTGTATAAGTCGGGAACAATCAAAAATCGCAAATAAGTAAAACAGCTTAACAGCACTATCACAACCGCCGCCCGAAGAGCATACTAAGAGACTACATTGTTGCCATTGGCCCAGCTGGACCTCATCCAACTCTCGCGTGTTTGGACGAGATTACGCGAGAGTATGACGTCATTAACTTATGCCTGAACACCAAGCGTTTGCCAGCCACAGAAATAAATAATTGGATTAAGAGCATTAAATACAACATATTTGCATGAGAAAACGAAATAGAAAAATCAAATAAAACGTACCTCATAACAAATCGTGAAAAATCACACTACACATATCATTCATACATTTTTATGGACGGTTATGTACTAAATCCCACAATGAATAGTCGTAGTTTGTTGAACTGGGGTCTTGACAGTGCTAGTTACTGGTTCATACTTACCTGGCAGAGATGGCACAGTGATCACTAAAAACGGGCTGTCCGTCATGAGCGAGGCCTGACCATTGCACTCCGGTCGGGCTGACCCCATCGATTACCCCAAATGCGGGTAACTCGGCTGCGTAATTTATGATAGTGGGGGTCTGCGTTCGCGCTAACCCCCGCCTATACAATCCAAAAGTAGCTAACACACCACCTCTCTCTCACTCACTCTCTCTATCTCCACTTCTTAGTGGGAAAACTCTGTTGTCAGAGTTGTAATATCCACATCTGGAATATCCGTGTGTGTTTGTGCAATCCCCATTATATCATATTTACACTCCATGCAGTGTTGCCATAGAGTGTGAATGCTACGTATTTTTGTCTGCGTGTCTATCTACATGAACCGTCGTCGTAAGACGGGTAAGGGGTAGAAACATGGAGCAGCGTTAGTCACAAAAGCGATGTGTATATACATGTACGTGGTGTCAATGTACAAAACAACCATTTTGTCCGGCAACGTCTAGGTTTAACCATCCAACATGGCGGACACACTACAAGACGTCCTGATAATTTAGCATTTACTGTCCCTGCAGGAAGTGATGTCGGAAGTCGACCAGGATGGAAACAAGTCCATCGATTTCTTCGAGTACCTGACGATTTCACAAACCTTGATCCGGAAAGCAGGTAAGGAATGTTTAGACCTTGTTACATTCCAGAATGCGCAATTCTATTGTGTGCTATAACACACACATTCTTAGAGATACGTGTAATACAGGAAGTCGTATGGACTACATTTTATATATGCACCCGTATGCCGCGGCACATTTTTAATGAGGCATGTTTTAGAATGGAAAATAACTCATTTACAATTTCCATTTGCAAGGATGTCAACATTACAAAGTTTCACTTATCAATTTATGGTTACAATAAAACTTCCTTTTTTAGGAAAAGCGGAGCTGTTCAAGACGGAACTGGCCAGAGAAGAGGGACGAGCGGTGTCTAAGATGTGCGTCATTCAGTGAGGAAGATCAGACCGGAAATGGCCCGTCATATACGTGTTTATGGGGAACCACACCTTCAGCACGTTAAAGATCCCAACACACTTATGGAAAAGAGCAGGGGTCCTTCCCAGTGTGATTGATTCAAACCTTACAGTCTGATCCCAAGTTTGACACGCATCTTTGAAAAGGAGATAGTCACCTGTTATGTCAATCCTTCCACAAATGTGGTATATCTTCATAAATAAATAAATAAGTAGAGAAATATAGCACAAAGGAGTCGTTGCCATCCATGCTGTGATGTACAATCACACCTATGTACTTGTAACAACTGTACATACAAACTAAATGTCTTCCATGTAGAATACGGTACTTGAAGTAAGGCCAAGGGATATGAGTTATAGTTTTGTTTTAAAATAAATAAAGGGGAACCTGTACATGTAGACATCGTTTCTATTTGCATATCTATAATAGACTGGCAGTCATCGTGGACTTCCTTTTATGGAGTTAAGCTTGAAGTATTTACCGGTACCGTTGCGGTCAGACATGGCCATGTTCATACAATTATTCATAAACATTTGTCATTATATCGAAGGAGATGTGTGCTGCGACAAACATCATGTTTCATCATAGAGTCAGGCAGCTATGAAGGCGCTATACGGACCGCAAAAAGTTTGATAGAATGTATTATGCATTTCTGTTTCTGTATATTCCATTCCTGTACATTGGTAAACGCCCTAATAGTGTCATAATTTGTAGGTCTTCTTCTTACTACAGTTGGTTTGATTTTGCAATTGGGTTCTTGTATTTAAGTCTTTTCCATAGGCTAACACCCAATAAGTGAATGTCATAATTATTACTATATTTTCTCTGGGTATTCGCACATACTGTACATGTCACTTTATGATTATGGGATGCTGTATTATGTACTTAAAAAAAATTAATGTGTGACAAAAAATCATCATGTCTGGAGAGGCCGCATTATTGTATATGAGATAACTGAGGTATTTTTCCACGAAATGTACATAGATTTTTCACGAAATAAAGTCACGATGACCTTTAGATGTATGAAACGCATATGGAATTCTCAATACCCACATGATATAGCCAAGAAGTTGTTCACCTGAACGAAAGCGAAGTCGTCTCCGAACCAAGCAATTCAGCTTCCCAGCAATCACGCCATTTTGTTGTATTCTCCCAAATGCACCAGGTCAGGAAATCCTTTTCTCCTCACAAAAAACAAGACAACGGCAATTAATTTGCCATGAAAACTTTCCATCGTTCTACCGCCCGGTTTAGAAGTACATTCTACCAACAGAACACGAAAAAGAACCCGGAAAGTTGCACAAAAATAACACCCCAGAACACTTACAGAACGTACCAAATCGCCATTTTGAACAAACCATATGCCAAAGGAAATGGAAGACGTGTTTTACACAGGTGTTCAAATCCGCCCTGTCTAATCACATGTACTAGTAATTATGAAGCTGAAAATCCAATCACGAAGACAACTTAAACCATTAAAACGTCATAGAAGTACCATTCCTGAATGCCAAGAAACGATTACGTCCAGAACCGACTTCTCGATCAGTTCACTCAGGGAGCTTTGACACTCTTTCGTTCATTCAGTCAACAAGCTATATATATCTCAGTTTTTGCGCTTTATTGTGTCGTGCAGTATATCTGCACGTGTCAGTGGGGACACCTAGCGATCCTGGATGCCTTCTGGTTTTCCTGCAGTGATAACTTCAGCCGTTTAGCGGCGCCTTTTTTGGACCGAGTGTCGGATGCACTAGTAATGCGGCCATTTTAAGTCTTCAGTAACATTTCGCATAGAGTGATATCCTTTCCTTCACATTTTACAAAAGTCTTGAAGCCTACGTTTCCTGCAATTTGTCACCATCTGAAGGCGACAAATGTCAATATTTTTTTTAAACAAGACGTTGAACAAATTCATTAATGTTTTTGTCTATTAATCGATCCAATTTTCAAAATAGGGTTACTTTATCCCCCCCTGCACTTCAGTTTTTTTGGAGATAGGTGACAGTTAAATTTTATTGCTGATTATTTCCCTCCAAAGGTTTTATGTAATCATCAGGATACACACATCAACACACAAACATCAACACACACACACACACATTGACTCACTCACTCACACACACACACTAACATACACTAACACAACACACACACACACACACACACACACACTAACATACACTAACACAACACACACACATACTAACACACACATACACACACACACACACACTAACACACACTAACACAACACACACACATACTAACACACACACACACACTAACATACACTAACACAACACACACACATACTAACACACACACACACTAACATACACTAACACAACACACACACATACTAACACACACACACACACACACACACACACACACTGCCAGTTGGCAACCTTCAATAACCATCAAACCATGTGTCATGTGGAAATAAGTTACTTTATTTTACATCAACGATTCTCAACAAAATATCTTAACAAAATATCATACTTTTCTTTATAAATATACATAAATAACACCTATTATGGGTCTTGCTGCAATGAATGGAATGGATTTTTATAAAACCTTGACAATAACTTAAGACAGTATTGATATATTCGTACACGAAGTTAGTATGGCATCTTGCGGACTAAATCTGAAATACATTCCCGACTATACAATCATCGCGTATTTACAGAATATCATCTACGGTCTCACAGAGTCCATATATCGTCTTGAAACATTATTTACAGTTATAACAAACAAACAAACAAAGAGTCCTAGCTTGGTCAGTACTTCGGCAGTTTTGCCAAACATAGCTGCCGCACCCTTCTCATAATGGAATTGACTACACAAGACAATTGTTACTCGAGCAACTGGATACATTTTGAAAACTGTCAGACGTTTCAAGTAGCATCCACTACTTTTCGTCACGTTGGATACTGCATAAAACGTCTGGCAGTTTTCAAAATGTGTCCAGTTGCTTGGGTAATGATTTCCTTGTGTCTCTCATTTCCTGGATGTCTAGACCTTCGTCGACGTTCATGGAATTGACTCTTTGACGTCACACATCTCGCGTCGTATTCTCGCGAGATTTCGGAGAGATTGTTCATGAGGTATGCATGTCTTTGTACATACAGAGTCACTTGCAGTTTAGAGTTCACGTTGAGGGTCGTTCAATTGCAAACAACCCACCACTCTTTGCAGCAGCCGTTTGGAGCCAGGAATCTTCTGGCGTGACACAGAGGGTCTGTGAGCTGTGGTCTTGTCTGCCGGGGACATCTGTAAAACATAAATAAGAGAATCCCGTCAGAAATGCTTTTGATATTGATACAAAATACATGGAGATGCAGAGAGAAGCCATTCATACAAGTATAATACACTTTTCATGTTTAATTGAGTCCTTTTTGTTTGTTTGTTTGATTGTTTGATTGATTGATTGATTGATTGATTGATTGATTGATTGATTCTTTCTTTCTCTTTCTTTCTTTCTTTCTTTCTTTCTTTATTTCTTTATTTCTTTATTTCTTTCTTTCTTTCTTCTTAAGACCAAGAAACAACACATAGCAATACACTGTAATTTAAAGCGGTTTACATTTCCATCAATTGTGTAGGACAGTGACTTCCTGACAAGTATGTTCAAGGTTTTAGGAATAATTAAAATTGCTGAAGTTCCAGTCGAAACCACTCGACAATGTTAGTGACCTGGCAACACACACATCCACCCTTCGGGGCAAATTGTTGGCATGTACTTCGGTTTTCCCTTCAAGTACAACTTCCTTCGACAGTCGCGGGATTTCCCCGGACGTGTTGGAACTATTTCTCCGTAGTCTAACTCAAAACACGCAGGGTACGTTAGGGCGGAATGTACAAGTTACACCCACGTTGTGGACTTCCTACTTACAAACTAAACCTACTCATTTATATACTAGGAATTGTGTGCATTCAAAAGTGGCAAATTCTTATATATATATATTCTCAAATACGCGAAGAATAAAAAAAAAAAAGAAACTTACGGTCGTCCTCTGTAGTATGTTGTCCTTGTCTCCAAATCTCGGTAACATCTTACTGCAAGGTCAAAAAACATCATCATCAGACTTTGAACAACTGCATTGTCATCAGAACTTAAGTTATACTGTTAGCTCTAAATGCATCCTTTGAAACAAGTTACCAATCACATTAAGAATTGTAAAGAAGTTTTTAATTGTCACAAGAAGGCTAGGCACTACAAAACTTCAAAAAACAACAATACAGGTGAGTTTGTTGAAGAAGACTCCGTGTTTCTTGACTATGATCATCTTAAGTTACAAAACAACTCTCCATCCCCTCCCCCGGTCATGGTCCAACCCCGTAACTTTATCAATGGAATACCTCCACCATGTAGAATTACACCAATGTGACGTGCCCGAGGAATGCGGTGATGTTTAACATTTGGCCAGACTCCCGGCGCCATGCTTTAAGTAGAGTAAATTTCAGATATCCCTGACTATAGATGTTTTCATCAACAATATCTAGCTCCAGTGGATCTCGCTGAGCAAACAACATTACTGTCTGTCGTTTCCAATTTTTTTACAAAAACTTCTACCCGTCCTATAACGCAATGGAGAAGAAAACTTACGTGTTTCTGTTGTGGTATCTGGTTTTTCTATGCGTAGCGGTAAAAGCCTCTCGTCCTGTTTTGGTGTCTCCTCTCCTTCTAGTTCAGTGTCTAGTGGATAAGTAGATTTATCGGCTTCCAGTGACATTTTGCTCCACAGTGCTAGCTGGTCTAGTAAGTCCTGCTCGCTGCTGGTGATGAGTGAGGTGTGGTCGGGGCCGAGTCTGTCAGGGAACGGGAGAATCTCCCCGCCAAAGTTCGTGTCGACTGACAGCGTTCCGTCGGGTTGGTGGACGTTCTCGTCGTCTCGGAGCTCTGCCGGTGCCGCTGGCGCGTCGTCATAGAAGGGCGACAGAGTCCTCTCGGGGTCCCAGAACCATTCGGGCAGCTGAACGTCGAATGTGATGTCATTTTCAGGCTTCTGTGTCGGTGTGCTCTGTGTCGGTTGGTGCGGCGTTGTTGACGGAACTGCCGCTTTCGTCGCGACAAAGTCTGAACTGGTGGTGGTTTGGTCTCTCTTCTCAGTCGGTGATGTTACCGCCTCTTGGCTCAGGACTGTGTTAGACTTGCTCGCTTTAGCTTTCCTCCGCCGATTCTGCTTCGTGACGATCCCCGACAACAGCTTACCCAGTCGAAGCTGTTTGGTGCTGTTGGCTTTCCTTTGAATCTGCTGCAGTGATTTCAAGAGTTCGGTAAGGACGAGCTTGTCCTGGGCCGGTTCGTAGGAGAACTCCGGGGAGAGTTCCACCGGTGTCTTGTCGTCCTCGGCAGGGTAGTCGTCCTGAAACCAGTCTGCTGTGGAGCCCGTGGGGTCTGTGTCGGGGGACAGGGCGTCGGGACGGGTCTTCCGGCAGCCGTCTGGACGGTCGCACGGTCTGACGATGGACGGCGCCGGGAGCTCCAGGGAAGTCCGGACGACCGCTGCCACGAGACACGCGCGGAGAAACTGTAGCGACATCTTCATCTCACCAGTCGTACTAAGCGTTCTGAAAAATACAACGATGAAAAGGATTTTAATGACAAATTTCTATAAAAAGAGAGACAAAATATATGATTTCTAAGGAAAAGGCCTGCAATCCTTACCTTCTTTGGAAACGTAAAGCCTTCTCAAGTTATTGAGATAAAATAAGAGTACGCGTACGAGTAAGGTTCTGGTTTTTGGTCTTGGTGAGTACTCTAGGAACTGTGTAATGTTGTTAATAATAGTTCTCCCGTATTTATAGTCGTTTAGTCAGGCGGTGGGCGAGTATTGGCCGTCGGTATGAGGACCAGATGGGCCCCGCCTGCAGGGTGGGCCGGCCCGACCGGGGTTGACCTGTCACAAGCAGGTAAAGTCTACCGTGGATCAGCGCGCGAGAGAACATTCTTAGCGTGGTGATGTGGGCTTGCCTGCACCGGGGGTCAGCCGTACGTGTTTCCATTCGGCGCGGAAAAACCCGTCACGTGAAGCGCCGAAGGAGGAAAAATCGGTTCTAGGAAGTGCTTCGCATTGACGACGAGTTTTAGACATACTGAACATCGGATATTGTCCGGACCGCAGGCCATTTTAAAGAGATTCCCATACATAAGATTCCCTGCAAGTTTTCATGTTCAGAAACGTTTTCATGTTCATAAACGACCTACGTCACAAAATGCCTTTATATCATAACAGTATAAGAACGACGAACAAAAACGTATGCAAGATGTAATTTCGACCTTATATACATACATGTACTTAATACTTCATAATGCTTGCAAGGCGGGCACACGAAGGATAACAGTAGCTGATACACGTATATCAATCTCTTACTGTTTTGGACAGCATTCCAACGGCGAGTATTGTTGACAGCTACGCATAACACATCTGTAGCACTCCTCAACGCGATACGATACAACATGTGAGGCCAGACCACAAAGCTAAATATTTAAACCAATTCGCCCCAACCTGTTTTCTTAGCCGAGTTCGCGTCGACCGGCGTTTACGTCCAATCTAATGTTTGACTCGCTCGGAATGTGGCCTTTAACTTGGCATTTCCACCAAAACATTTTCCTCGGAATGAAGCGCAACCAGCTCTGACACATGGCGGGAACAGGCGCACCTTCTCCCGAAGGAGTTGTACAGAACATTGCGTGCATAGGTTTGGCCCATTATTTATAGAATAAACAGCTTAAAATAAGCCTGGCTAACTAATATTAGCTAGCTAGCTAGTCATCATCGGGCATTGACCCATTTAAGATACGCCGAAAGAGGCTGAGACGTAATCTCAGGAAACGCGCGTTTCTCCGAACGATATTTAGCAAAGATAGCTGATGCTCTACAAAAATTTGATGTTTTTGCTTAATCCCCTACTATTTCCAATGTCAAGATCCTTCTTAAATTTTGTTCTCCGAAAATACGTTCAGCCCTTAGCAGTCTGTTTTTCTGTGGTGAGATTATTTTATTTTAGAGTGCGCTATATCTACAACGCACATACCGAAATATCAGATGTCAGAGAAAAGAACCAACTTGCGATCAGGCCCAAAAGCAAGACTTACCAATAAAGAAAATACACAATACCCGGTGATGGACACAACATAATATTTCCCACCTCAAGATACTTGGTGTTCCAGTAGTTTGGAGTTGTTCCCAAGTTGAAAGTTGCGTCTGGTCTGCAAGAAAGTTGGAGTAGCTCCCAAGTCTTCAGGAAACTTGAGTCACCGATCGCAAGAAACATGCGAAGGATCGAGCTGCGTCCGTTGTCTGGTCTATCCGCCCCGCTCCAGCCTCTATATATACACCTCTACTTCCTGGATCAGGTTATTTATCTCTCCGGAATCACCACTTGTGACGTACTTCCTGACGTGGTTTAAAAAGTAAACGGTCTAGCGCGTGTCTTTGTAGGTTACTACTCCGCTGTGTAAATGTTACGTTCCCCGAAATAGCGGGATTATCTTTCTTTGGGTCTCGTCGGGGTCAACGTCTGAAAAGTTGGATTGAAAAAGTTTTTGTCTTCTGGCGTCCTTTGGTTTGCATGTTCCGGGGGGTTGTTCTAACATTGCCGGGCTTTCCCCCCGGTTACCGGCGGGAAAGTAGAGCGTGATTTACCGCGCACATGTTTGGACTCGTGACGGTGCCGACGTCAGGGACTCGGAGTAAAAACTTGGAGAACTGAATGAATGGGAACTTTGTGAACGGTCGTGGAACGGTAGAAAAAAAAACAGGTGCGTGGTAGACACGAAAAGTTGCGTGTCTGTCAGCTACTACACTTCTGATTAAGACACAAGTGAAAGAGAAACTTCTCACTGCCAGAGATACACATCGGCTGTTTGTTTACGGTTGAAAAGAAACTGAAACGGAAACTAGTCTATAGTTTAAACGACAGTAGCACAATGTACTATGTAGCGGCCTGAAGGTATGAATGCGCAGAGAATGTACCTTCACGAAAAGACCAGAAACGATGTTAGCATACATAAGATACTGACATTATAGATCCTTAAATGTGATGATGTAGTAATCCGTCCCGTCCACGTGCGCCCAGTCGTCTCTACACGTGACGCCGTCCGTCGCCATGGCAACTGACGTACACAGACGGAGGCACGCCGTGTCCAGGTCAAGTTAAACACACGTGGGCACTTCTGCAAATTCCACGCACTGGCTTCACATGCGTCACAAACAAATATTTTTCTCGGCAGAGTCGACCTGTATACGCGCCCGCGGAGTCCCCCGGACAACAGGTCGGGGGAGGGGGTACACCAGGGTGAAGTTTATATTTAGAAGTCAAGTTCACGTGGGGATGGTTGAGTCAACTGGAAACTACGTCTGTTTGAAGACTCTAGGAAAACAAGCCGACTCCATTGACGTGCACCATTGTTTGACAACGTTAGGTGTTGAAACGGTTGCGTAGGTGTAAGAAAAAAAATTCCGGAATAACATTACGGGTAAAGTTAGGGGACGGTGCGACTATATTATGAAATGAACATTGTACATGTAGTTAGTATGATATAGTTAGGTAAATAAGCTTATTATCAACTAAGCGTTAAACCAAAACGAAGTATATACTTTTGAAACTTTCGTTCCAATTCCTTTTTTGTGTCCATGGAATTGAAATATACTGTCTTCTGGTATAAAGTTTCGCTTCCAAAAATGGTCAGTGTTGATCTCAAATGATCTCCTAGATTTAACTCAATTACATCTAAACAAAGTTATTAAAAGAATTTAATGAGAGAATCTGGTTAAGACGGCTAGCTTACGTAAAACACATTTATTTCAGATCATTGACCTTGCTGCGTCACACTTTTCTTGTTGGAAGGATGAAAATAGAACGTAGCGGCAGATAAAACGTTGAGAAACACTCGTAAAAGAACAATTCATGTTAAAAACATGTCTCCGAAAAAAGAAGAGCTTTGAAATACACGGCTGGCCCAGAGGTGAGCGACCTCGCTTCCACGACCCGCCTTGAACCTGAAGCTACGTCATCTTCGGTAGCGGTACTTTACCATATATGGGCAAAATCGCGCCGCGGCCAATGTCGGGAATGTTCCGTCTGCCGCCGGAGGGTTACGATGACAACTCGTGGGATTGCCCGAAGTATTCTCAGCGTTTGTTGACATTCCCACCCGCGGCTTCCCCGTGTGCGTATTCTGTCATCCAGCTGTTCTTTTTACGAGATCTATTTTTTGTCTCATGTACTTCCCTGAACAACAGTCTTGGTGAAGTCATGCCCGGAGACGTTTTGTTTTGTCTACCCGACGGGTTCCGAGTTTTGCCGACGGGAGCGGTGAATGGCGAAGTGCTGTTTTCGGCCATGTCCGTTTTCTGGTGTTTCACAGAACTTGACTGTCGCATTGTGGAAGTACATCATACCCTCAAAGTAGTTTTGATCTTTAATTATGTTTACCGAGGGAAAACATTGTTTTTTCTCTGTTTCCTCTTCTTTTATTTCTTCTCCAAACCAATAAGGTCAATGACCTGAACCAGACGTCTGTCTCCATGTTAACTAGTGTTGGGTTACATCATGTTTCAATTTTATAGCAGGAGGGATTTAGACTGCTGTCACCATATATATGAATGTGTTTGTGTAAGAATGAACAGAGCAGACCATATGCGAAGGTAAACATTATGCATTTGCTTTGCAAATGTCACCTTTCTAGTGAATAAATAAAATGTACTTAAGTGATTTCATGGTGGAACCGTTTTACCGTTAAAAATGAAAATTATTTACCTCTGAGTGCCATTGGTTCAAGCAAAAATGAAGTGATATAATCTTTCATTCGAAAAGAAGGGTTATCTACGTTTTAGGAAATAGTTTGGGGTTTTGAACCGGCTCCCGCAACCGCATTTGGTCATAAATCTACGTCTGGAATCCGCTAGAAATACCACGAGTTTCCAGTTGCAACTTCTGACGAGGAAAAATGTTGAATCATTCCACCTTTTGGCAAGTTTTGCAATGGTAGGAAGTGAAAAATCCTTTCCATGCGCTTTTGAAAGTTTTGTCAGCCAGAAAAAATGCACCGAAACAGATTTATTTACACATTCTTTCGCCGTCGGAGCTCAACCAGTAGCTATGTCCGGTCCAGGGTTGGTTATCCGTTGAAATAACAAGCACAGAATGCTTGTGGTTTTTTTTTATCTAGACAAATGACAAAGCCGATGGTTTAAACCGACCAATGACGTTTCCTGTTAAAAATGAACATGAGCTCATGCGTCATGCCTCTAAATGTTCCCAAAGATGTCTTGTTGGGTTTAACATAATAGTATTTTGGGGATCCTACACAGTGCAATCTAATGCTATGTTCTTCCGATCCCATCATTGAGATTTCAACACATCTGTGCTCGCAGAGCATTCATATTCTACAACCTGCTAGGTCTCCAAGCAGATCCCTTCCGGTGGCAAAAAGACAGTATCAAATTGGCCAGGCAGTATCCATTAGCCTGAGAAGGTCGCCGGCCACCGATGGGATTAGCGCAAAAAAAAATATATATAAAAAGCTAACGATCATTCCCCCACAGCCTCTGCTTGGAGAGTAGGTCTTTCTGCCATACGTCAACCAACTCACGTGAAAGCACTATCTGCACATAAAAAGGCAAGAGAGGAAACGCAAACTACAAATTTCCCCCCCTTTTTTTTACCAAGGGACCCTATGACTGTGGCTGCTGCCTTTCCCAACCCAAATGTAGCCTGTGCAGTCATCGCCGAGTTCTGAAATCAACAACTCACGGGACTACACTGATATCTACACTACTTTCACACAAAAAGACAACCTACAAATTTCCTTTTCTTTTACCAAGGGACCCTATGACTGTTGCTGCTGCCTTTCCCAACCCAAATGTAGCCTGTGCACTCATCGCCGAGTTCTGAAATCTTCAAATAGCAAAGGTCCCGTGTAAGCCAGAGTTCAGAATGCTAATCTCCACGAGAATGCTAATTCACTTCCCCGGAATGTCAAATACAATCTGATTCATAGCAGCACTTTTCCACTGCTGCTTTTTGTCCTAATAAGGGGTTTGGGTTATTTAGCGAGGGGTGACAGTTTCGTGCAACGCCGAGGAAGGATTTTGTTACAAACTCCCGCAGCTGTTGGCAGGGAAACTCACAGAAAGATACTGATAGCTATAGACTGTGCACGTTTACAGATACGCGCTGGCTTACCCATTTTTAGATGCTCGTTCTGTGCAGTGCAGTCACCAACGCCCCCATGCGGTTGGGAAGTGTAGTGCTGCCTGTCCAATCATGCTAAAACCATGTAAGAGCATATAGAGTAATAGACCGTATGAAATTTGCAGAATCGTGGTCACCACAATGTACATGAATTTACCTTTTTTCAGTGTGCTCCAATTTGTTTTAAGATAACATTGGTTCTAGAGAGAATTTATGTTAAAACAACCTAGTCTGTCTAACTTCAAGGAAAATAATCTTATCAAATTTCATTTCTAAAACAGTTAACAAGGGGTCTGAGAGTTCCAGTACAGTTTAATTTTTAACTGACATTTAATCAACAGATCATTTTTCATCTGGTGTTTGATATAAACATTCTATAACTCCGTATGTATCTTTTACATGCCATGTCTGGTTGCATTTGTGTGTTCAAAAACATTTGTCTACTGTCTTGACACAAGCAGATGTAATAAACTCCGGGCATCCGTACACCAACATGGATAATTTTTCTGACAATGCAGACAGAAAATAGGGATCGTACACGTATTGGGAAATATGTAATTGTCCTTGTAGCAAATGCACCAACGTACATTGGACAAGTTATTGTAATTACACACTGTAATGTCAGATATAGCTAACCAGAATAAGTGGCCTTAAGAGTTCGTCATGATACATGTATGTGCGTGGACATACACACAGATCCCTGCTTTTATACACGTAGAATTGATATCAACAATCACAGGCAGTGAAAGCTGCGAGGGTTTGACTTATTCGAGAGAAAAAAAAAACAATTTTTCAACACACATAAAGGCTGGGCGAGTTCATGTTAGGGTTGACGTAGAATTAGTCCGGAAACATTTTATACACAAACAACTTTGTACAAAACTACAATAGTCCAGTCTTTGTCTTCCAGTTCTGAGACAAATGTACCTACAAGTAATCTTCCTGCCTGTTTTAGGCATTCAGTGCAATTTCAGGGCAGCAAAACTGGAGTTTTGAAGTCAATTTTCTTGCCATTCTTTTAATATATGAAGTTGAATATCAATCCTATCCCATATTAAACAGTTTTACCTACGAGGAAAACAGTTGCTTGTTTCGTATTGTAGGCTGGCTCTAGCTATTTATGGGTGGTACCCAACAAGTAAAAAGATGCCTTGCTTAGCTTGTTTTGGGGCTATTTCAAATGCTTCAAGTATGAAATGATGACAAAATGTGCTAAGAAATGGCAGGAAATGTCAATAGCAGACCGATTTCTTCGTCCAGAATATTTTTTTGTTTTACCACCCTGAAATTGCATTGGATGTCTCTAAAGTAAAGAGGACTACAGGACTGGTCAGTGTTTACTCTTCTTGTGTTTGTGGGAATTCGACTTCTTGTGTGGGGATCTGGACCTGGACTTGACACTATGTTTCCTGGCCGAGGACGGCGATTGGGACCTGGAGCTCTTCGACCTTCGGGGAGACTTGGGCGACCTTGACCTGCGTGACCTTCTAGGCGACCTGGACTTGGAGCGTTTCTTCTTGCGACTGCTAGTGGAGGTGGGGGAGCTTGTCCTGTGTGTGAGACAGGAGGTTTTTAGTCACTGTCACAGCGAAATGCAACTTTGATCGATACAAATGTAGCTCAACTAATAATAGTAATAATAATGAAAGCTATCAAACACAGTGATTTCTAACATGTATACAACATGCAAATTTGGCTGCATAAGTGAATGAAATAACGCCAACAGTAAAACATGAACAACATGCTTACAGATAGTGTGTGTGTGTGTGTGCGTGTGTGTTAGCGTGCGTGTGTGTGTGCGTGTGTTTGTGTGTGTTAGTGTGTGTGTGTGTTATTGCGTGTGTGTTTTTGTGTGTGCCCATGTGTGTGTGTTAGTGTGTGTGTGTATGTGTGTGTGTTTGTGTTAGTGTGTGTATGTGTGTGCCCATGTGTGTATGCCTGTGTATGCCCGTGTTTGTATGTACCTGTGTGTCTGTATTTGTGTTGACCATCTAACAGTTTCGTTTCTATTGTTAACTCCTGATCAGACAATCTAAAGAATAAGGTCAATGACCTGAACCAGACGTCTGTCTCCATGGTAACTAGTGTTGGGTTACATCATGTTGCAATTTTACAGCAGGAGGGACTAAGACTGCTGTCACCATATATATGCGAAGGTAAACATTATGCCCTAATAATCTAATCTAATATAATCTAGTATATCTGTAATAATCCATAATCTAAAGACAGTACGTCGTACCTGTGTGAGGATGGAGAGCCAGACTGCGACCTCGATCTTCTCTCAGGTCGTTCTGTTCTGTGTCTCTCTGACTTCTCTGACCTTGGGGACCCCGACCTTGAGCTGTACCTCTTCCCCGGGGAGGGGCTGGCGGAGTGGCTGCGACTTCTCCTGCGCTTCTTCTCGCGGTGAGGAGAGGAGTCCTGCGAGGACGCGTCCTCTTTCTCCTTCAGCCTCTCCAGACGGTGTCTTTCTTTTATCTTTTCTATCTCCCTCTCTCTCTCCTGAAAAATAGCACACACATGTCAAAACATGTGTGGAGGAACAACATTCCACTGAAAAGTGAAAATTAAACATGGACACAGACTGGTTGTGTTCCTCTTTCCCTAGGACAAGATATCCTGTGATAGAAACAACAATGTGATACATCAGAGAACGTAAAACATCCAGAACGTAAAACGTAAAATATACGCCAAAAAAGTTACTGAAGCAACTGGATATGATTTTGAGAAACGGTCAGACATTTCACGTTCCATTGACTACCTTTCATCAGTGACACCTGTTACTAGTGTTAGAAAAGAAGGTTTATAAGCATGACCTATTGGTTGGTATGCAAATGTGATATATGAGAATGTACATGTTTTCATGAATGCAGTAACCAGTAAGACTAAGAAAGGGGTTCATGCCAAAAAAGATTCACTGTAAGTGTACGTAGAGAACTCACCCTCTCCAGTAGCTTGCCTCTGTAGTGTTGGACCTGTTGGGACATGGACATGCCAGATTTCCGACTCCGCTTTCCTGACTCCAACTCATCCATGTACTTCATTACCTTCATCTGTGTGGACAACAGGCAAGTAAGTTGCCCAAACAGGCACGGGTTGTAGGCATATAGACATGTAAGTGACTGGGAAAATCTATTCCATTCAAGCAATTAAGAATAAAACTATATGTGAAGTCAATTCAAGGCTCCAGACTAAGGAGCACTTGTGCTCCCAGCCCCAATTTTGCACACAGGCAAAAATCTAGACTCACCACAGAAAAGATCAACCTATCACTGTTAATTTACAAGATTTTCTTGCGTTATTGTACGTAGAAGTACACTGCAGGCCATCATCTAGCCCCAGGCCTTGAATTTTACTTAATTTTTGATAGGCACACCGTTGTGACTGTCATTTTGAAATCAAGTCACATGGCTGTTTTTCTAGTAGCATCCTGGAGTCATGCAACAATGGGAGAGCAAAATAAGTTCTCTATTCACCTCGATTTCCCGAAGTCTTGCTCTCTTCTCCTCAGACATTTCCGTCATCTTGAGTTCTGCGGCGATATCGGGAGGAACCTCCCTCCTGGAGTCGTAGTCCCTTCCCATGGAATCCTGGGTATCGTCCTCCAACGGCATACCATCCACATCATCATCGTCAGCTGCTTTGTCTGGGTCGTTCGAGTCCTGTGATCTGAAGATTTAATTGCAGGAGTTGTTTAAAGGTTTCTAGTGATGATGCCCCAACTGTGCTTGATGGTAATAAGTTCCACTCTACGATAGTTCTTGGAGAAAAAGTTTTTGCCACCTCAATTCTTGGTTGATAACTCTGATATTTGAAGGCATGACTGTTCCTTGTTCTTTTCTTGGCTGGTATCAGATACTTAGTGGTTGGTACATTCACCAGTTTATGGACACGTCTAACATACCAGGCAATGGCAACTTTAGAATCCTTACTGAAATTCTAGCTTTGAAGCAAAGTACACAATCAGGGCTTGAATACTGGCTGCATATGCACCTCAGTGCAGGTATTTCTGTTGTCTAGTCCATGCACCAGTCCATGTACTGGGTTAATATACAAATGTAGGTGAACATGTATGTTGGTTTTTAAATTTCGATATACTGACTTGTCATCCTTGTCTGTATCATCTTCATCTTGCTGCTCCAATAGGTCCCATTTAGATGTTGTCATGGCTGTAGAAACAACAACAAAAAGGCATCCTCTATCAAGCATGTTGTAGAAAGTTCATCTATCAACAAATCATGTAAAATTCAAGGGACAGTAACATGTTGTAATACAATCCATGGTGACCTAAGTAACAAGCCTGCTAACAGTTCCTGAAGGACAGCAACTTTTCACACCAACAACACTGACTTACCTTGTGCCTCAATATCTGACGGATCCACAGTTTCCCATTTGGATGGAGCCACCTTGAAGACTGGCTCTGCATTTTGCGCAAGGAAACAAACATTTGTTGCAAACCCGCAAAAGTGACTCTACTCCCATTTACATTTATATCTCAGTCAAACTCTTTACAACCACTCCCTTCTTAATGTTCTAAGTGCATTTTTCCCACTTGCATATTGAGGCTAACATAATTTAGAAATGACTATTCAGACCAAATACATGTTGACGGAAAAATAACCTACTGTCCAGAACTACTATTAGTAAGTATATTTACTTACCTTCCTTCATAGGTTGTCCGTCCAAGTCGTCATCAACTAGATATAGGTGGAGGTAACTTGTTACTACATCAAACTCACAAATACTGTAGAATGTTTGCACTGTCTACCATGTTGGATGGTTACACTATCATGTTCGAATTTGCATATGTAATTACAGTGATACAACAATGACATATACATGTGTAGGTCTCACTCTTCTCAGTCCAACCAGTGAACATGGTGTGACATCAGGTGCAAACAACTACTAAGGCCACATCAATTTAATTTCTTGGTTAACGGATTTTTCTAGAAAAATAATGGAGCGGGCGACCGAAAAAAAAAAAATAAAAACAGGCCCAGGCATCCTATTATGGCCCAAAACGGTAAGATAGGAGGCATGAAGTCAACACACCAGGCTGGTTCAAAATTTAAACAATGAATTTTGAACTTTTAATGATACCATTGCATTGAAAGATGGAATAACTGTAACAACTAGGATGAAAATGACTGTTTTCAACTGTTCGGGGCAAAATATGAGCATTTTGCAGTTGATTCTGAATTTCTATTTTTATTTGCAAATCAGAAAAAAATGAAGTGGGCGAATCTGTTAACCAAGAAATTAAATTGGTGTGGCCTAAAGAGTTTTAAAAAAAGCGAGAAAGAAATCACATCAGAAGCACAACTCAATCTACATGTACTTACTGCCTTCTGGCAACAGAGCTGAAAGAGGTTAGTCTGATGAACATTTTAAAATAAATAAAACATATTGTTCTAATATAGAAAAATATGCCACAGGTTTCCAGTGATCATTTGAGAATCTGTTTTTCACACTTCTTTTTTCTGCCCACATTGGTCCAGAAATTAAGTACTCCTAACTCTTTTGTGAATGTATTGATCATACTATTAGTTCATGCTATTCTTTTTGCATATAGGTGTCATTATAATTACGATATACTGGATTGAGATTGATAAAGAGAAACACAGACACACTGGGACTTTTTGTTCCACTACTATGTACAGGCATCAATCCTAGTTGATATGTAAATGGTGGCCAAATCAGATGCATCCTGACTACATTTGCACTGTTTTCTATGTCACATCTACTTCATTTATCATAATGCAAGCTACATAAACCAGCTCAAATCTACCATATCGGCCATTTGAATTTAGAAACCATCCAAAACAACTTTTTGACTAACTTTCTTCCCACCTAGACTAACTTGACAGTAGATCTAAGTTTTCTGCAGTAAGAGGTGATATGGTCTTACTTGGTTTTCCATCTATATCTTCCACCTTCATGACCATTCCATCCACACTATCACCGACTCCTATGGGTATTCCATCTAGAATAGAAACAGTGTTTCACAGGTTTGTACACGAGTTATTATAACTAACTTTAACTAATTAGCACTAACTCAACTAACTAACCAATAAGTGTTTGCAGTCACTAGGTCTAGTTGGTTAGGTTTGCCAGAAACTCTACTACCAAAGATACTTTAAATATTGAAATGTGGTATTATTCTCACAGTTTCCACAGCAAATTCTTATCGCTAAACCATGACACCGCAAATGTGTGTTTTGTATTACTGCTGAGTCTATGCTACAGAATTGTTTCAAAAGCAAACTGCAATCACTGCAACTGCGAAATTATCGTGTGACCCAAATACATGCGGTTATGGATTGAAAATTGCAACCAACCACAAAATGCACCATTGCTTGTTACCTTCCTCATCAGTGTTATTTGGTACAATAACATCAAATGCCTTGCATAGCTTGAAACATAGCAACTAATGGCTGTCTAACATACATGCATCAGACTTAGCCCAAGAACAGGCTGTTGTTTTTCATGTCAATCTTACCTATGTCTTCTGCTTCCTTGATAGGAATTCCATCTACATCGAAGTCCAGGCTAGACTTGGGCATGATAGGAACACCGTCTATCTCTACAGCAGGGGTGGGACCTGGCTCACCCACTCTTCTCTCCTCCTTTGGTTCATGCTGCAATCATGCAAACAATAAATTCATCTTCGTGCTTATGTTGATTATCTTCAATGTCCTTTTTTGTTATTATCAAATCAAGGCAGGAGAATACAAGATGTATTCAGCTGAACTGCGCAGATTTGTTTATACAAGCATTGAGACCCAAGTACAGAATTTAAATTCTAGAGTTGTGTGTATTTCTGTCTGTGCGTGTGTGCAGACATGAATGAAAATGAGATAATAAGATATTTGTGATGTGAAACCAAAACTAACTCACAAGAGCGTTTAGTTATTATTAGGATTACCTTTATCATAAACATCACATGTATAGAATATTAGTGAATACATGTGGGAATCATTCATAAATGTTGACCACATAGCATTTTAACTTACTGACCAACATGAACTCCTAATGCATAGAATAATCCAGAACAACTGTATGAAGCCCTACCTTAGTGGCCTTGGTGTCCAGCTGACTAGGCTGTGTTGGCATCAACAGTTCCCTGGTGGCACCAGTGGGTGGTGTGTCTCCACCCTACACGCATACATAACACCAATCACAACAGTGCAGGAAACTAAGGGGAACATCAATGACTGATAATAAGAAGTTAAGAGAGCATATACACAAATATGTAGCTGTTTTAACAAGATAACTGTGGGATTTTCATTTCCAAGTAAGGGATTGCTGTGTTCCAAGAGTTGTTACTTAGCACACACTGGAGTATAATTTGGGGCTTGAATGTTGTCTGTTTTGGCACTGCAGTTCCTCTATATTCTGCCAGAGGAAGCCACATAGTTACTGTATGATCTGTCAGTGGGGATAATTTTGTTATCTCTACATGATTGCCTCTTTTACCCTGATTATGTTATACATGATCTTATTCATCCGTGGTGAAGACAAACCTTTTCCCTCTCTCCCTCGTCAGACAAGGTCTCTAGTCCCAGGAAGATGTTCTGTAGTTTGATGAGGAAACTCTCGGGATAGATGGCCCAGTCTTCCCAGGCATGGAAGCAACTCATCACCTTGTGCTAAAAAAAAACACACCAGAAAAGAAAGTCATACACAGAATCAGATAAATGAAAAATCACACAAAGTCCATAAAACACAGTCATACACAGAATCAGATAAATGAAAAATCACAGAAAGTCTTCAATTTCATTCTGTTGTCTATGCAAACCCATTTCACGCCCATTTTAATCAGCTTCTACAACATCGAAAGGTAGTATAAGACAGCATACCAACCTTGAACTGTTCTGCTTTCATTTTACCCTGTATGTTCTTATATGCACCACAGACATCAGCAAAGATCTCGGGCAGTTTCCCTTCAAAACTAAAAAAAAAACAAAAAACAAATCATGTACTTCTTTCCAACATATGCAACATATCAAAAGCAAACATATTATCCAGACACACATTGTTTCACAAATTTCAATCCTCTAAAATGTTGATAGAAATATTAGGCTGAAATACTTACAATTTCCTGTAGAAGGAGGCATTGGGCACTTTTGCACATGAGTTGTGGAGGATGTCTGACACTAGGTACAGCCGGGCGATCTGAAGACATAAAGTCAGGAATTTCAGTTCAATGAAAACACAATATAGTGTCCTACATCAGCTACATATAGCAGCGAGAAGCATAAGCTCCAGTCAGAAGCTCTGAGGAAGGTGTCTGTTAGACACCAAAATGTACATGTAAGCAAGGTGAGAGAATTCTTGGTTTTGTAAGAAGAAAATCCCTATATCCTATGTTCTACCAACCTGATGAAACTATTTTAAGGACAGTACCTTTTTTGGCAGAGGAGTCTGAAGAATGGACAGGGACTCTGCGATGCACTCCACTACCTCCTCAGCTGCATCAGCATGGTCCAGGCAGAACAACATGGCCTCTGCCACCTTCGGTCTCTCTGGGTTCAGTCCACGGAGAAGGTCCTCTAACTTGTCTCGATCACTGCAGAATAAGTTGTTGCTTCATGTGAGTGCAATAGCTCAATTGGTAGAGTGCTCGCTTTGTAACCAGGAGGTCGTGACTTCAAACCCCGGCCGGGTCATACCAAAGACTTTAAAAATGGTACACACTTCTTTCTTTGCTTAGCACTCAGCACATATGAGAAAGAGTGTGGGAAGGTCAAACACACAGCACTACCAGCTGACTAGCCCCCTGCTGTAGTGCTTGCACAACTGTGTGTTGCCCAAGGGCTACGGAAATGGAGATGGGCACCACCCTACGCTCTGTATAAGGGCATGGGAGACCTTGTGGACAGTTTAGTTGCCCCGACGGCAGGACAGACTGCTATGGGACCGGTGAGGTGAGGTGAGGTGAGACCTTCATGTGAGTAGACGAACCAGCAATAGCCTCTTCTTTGCTAATTACAGGATGTTCACAGTAGTACTGGATATATTTTGGGGTTTGTACAAGAATATACCTGCTATCCGCTTTTGCTCAAACTGCAAGAAAAGTTTCTTTCATATTTGTGCCAAATACACAGTGACTCACTTGTCTTTTAGAGCTCCTCGTTTGATTGGTTCATCGTGCATCTCCGTGGTAACCACATCCTCGGGCATGCCCTGTAGATACGGGTTCATGGGAGGAGGGCGCCACAGGGACCCGCTCTTGAACATTCGGAACTCTTGTGGCTTCCACTTTTGAGGGGAGTCTCCCTGTAGAAGGAAAACAGTATAATCATTGTAGAAATGCAGCAGTTCCAACTCATTCGACTGTCTTTAGGCAATTAAAATTACAGTACCACCTTTGCATAAGAATCAATTGGCCAATTGGTCCCTTGAGTGGATTTCTTGACAGTTTTGACTGTAATTAGATTGTACCTATCTACTGCTTGACTTTTATTTCTCTTGGTAAAAAGAAAAGGACAGGTTCACTTGTGCCCAAAACTATGATGATCAGATTCTATGATTAATTTTTCCAGTAACAGGTATACTAATAACATCAATATTGCTTGAATTACATGTATATGCATTGTTGACGTCCACACTCAAACCTATTAAGTATTATCTGTATATGAACATACAGTCCCAGACCTGTATGTAAAAGTTCTTGCCTTCTGATTCTTACAAGCCACAAAAGAAAGTGAATACTGTACTGTGGATGCTACCTGAAACATCTCACCATTTTGAAAATCTGGTCAGTTGCTGGAGTAACTGTCACTTTAGACTAAAAAAAATGACATGGACAAACCTGCAGGATGGAGAAGAGCTTCCATCTGTAGTACACGTGTGCAGGGCTCTGGTTCTCAAACAGGAACCTACAATAAAACAATGTTATCAAATGCAAAAAACATATTGTACTTTTAAAACATGCATTCTCAAAAAAATTCAGACTTGCTTGTTGAGGACAAAGCAAATTTATGAAAAAGGTATTGAAGAAATTTGATATCTTTATACAAACCAAGTATCTGTAGTGAGAATTGCTCACTGGACCTTAATACATTCTGGATGGAAGGCAAGTCTACCACCATACGCTACCACTGTACCCCAAGGGGTATAAAAACATTTACAAACCAACAGCACTATTTTACAACTCTGTAACTATGGGTTTAGGCAACAAAGGTATTTGCAATTTGATATGAAAAAAAATCTGGTACATGTCATTACTATTTGAGATGATGTGTAATTTTCTTAAACGTTTTTCCACTTTTTATCAGTTAACGTTTAATTTCACCTTTCATATTGTGGTCTCCAATTACAATTTGTTATTTAGTATTTTTTTCACATCAAAGGTATACTGAACACTAATTTTTTTGTGATTTTGGGTGATCCCAGAAGACTGGACATGTTTGTTTTAATCATCCTTCCAGTGCCTGGAACCCATCCTATTCTAACTCCAACTTGCTCCAACGTTTGCTTTCATACAAGTCTGCCTGTCCCCATTTAAATGTTTAGCCATCATGTCCTTCATTATTCTGAGAATCAAATACCGGTACCTTTTAGGAGCAGTGTTCAACTTCCACGAACCTGTCCTAACCCTGTAATAAGGATCATGTGACCTGCAGCCAATCAGCCAAATATTCAAATGCCAATCATTTCTCTGCTAACAGTTGCCAGACAATTCTGCAAGGGAAGGACTCAAAGGAGCAGATAGGACAGATACCAGACTAAGATCCCCCGCCCCATCCTGTCACCATGTGCTTACCTGAACATAGGGTTATTAATCTCCCTATTCATGATCATAGCCTCAAACATGGGTCCCTCGCGAACGACAAACTCGATCATACGGTGGATCAGTTGTAGGAGCGGCCTGGAAATACAGCATCCAACCAACACACGTAGAAACAAAATAATAGGGCACAACACCAAGAACATGCATGTAAGGAGGACAGGCACATCTTTGCAGAGATTTTTAACAGACTGGATTTCTGTGTGCCTGTACAGTTTACTTCATGGAAACAATACAAAGAAAAAGGCGTGTTTTAGGCTCTTGGTACTTGAAATTACTTAAATCTTAAATTTCCAACTGTTAGGCTGATACAATATACAATCATTTTAGTTCTTGTAATTTTTTTTTCACACCAGACTCTTAGGACTAGATTTACATATCCTCCTTGTTGCATGTTCATTGTATATGTCCCGGAAATACAATTTAAAAAAAAATCACCTTACTGTATTAGAGCCATATGCTATTATTCTAAGTTCTTTTCCACTCTAGAAGTAGCAATATGTTAAAGATTTCTCCTTGTTATGGACTGTATAATATCAGTAATTTTCAACAGAAAAAAAAGACATCTGACTGCAAGTAACAAATCAGCTAGCTGCTAAGGATGTAAATGCTCAACTACAGAAATCTGTCTGTTAGTATTTTTTTTCTAAATCAAGCTGTGTCTACGAACATGCAAATTTGACACCAAGAACACATAAAAGGCCAGAAATAGTCCATGAAAACCCGAAGAGGAAATTCTAACGTCTAACTTTCATTACTGTTCAGAATCAGCACTAGGACTTGCAGCATGTGCTTGAGGAAAAATGACTGCATAGCAAAAATTTGCATTGGTATGAGCAAATGTTCTGCTATGTTTAGCCCACATACAGATGTCTACGAATGCGCTGCTATGGAAGGATCTATGACTAATGCATTCTTCTCGACTTCCTCGGTAGAAAAATCGGGTGTCGTCCCTCCTCCTGTCCGTCTTCAGCAGCCAGCCAGTCTTCATGATGTCTTCTCCCCATCTTCAGGTTGTCCCTCTTTCTCACAACATTTTTTCTTTTCTTTCAGATGCCAAATTTGCTTATTTTTGTCAAAAAATCTCTAAATGAAGTGAAGAATACCTTTCTGTGGGGATAACCACTTTGACAACGGCGTTGTACAAGGTCTGGTCGTTGTGTAAAACAACATGAGAACAGAGGGGTGTCAGTAATAGGGTGGCAGAAAGCGGCATGCAAAATGACCACACTAAATGCAGCAGAGCAACCCCCATGGCTGGCTAGCATGTTTCCCATCCTATGACTCAAAGTGGTTGTGTACCAATCAAGGCATCCGAGCTACAAGTCGATGACACTAGAACCAACTACAACCCACAACACAATACACGTATGTATGGTACTCGTGTCATCTGTAGTACTAATGGCTCAGGTCCCTTGTTGGAATATCCCACTTTACGACTTAGGAGGGGCCACCAATACTAACCCATCCATAGGAACAAGCATAACACTGAATCAACACAGAAGTCAAGATCTTTCAAAGGGGTTAAAATCAAGCACTGTGGCATGCACTTTTGGCCAGACAAAAACATCTCTATACACATGTTGTACTATTACTCTACCACTCCAAAAGTTCACATGTAGTATACAGACTTAGCTTCATTGTTGTATGCACTTACCGACGTCCACCATAAGGTAAAAAGGTGGCAATACCTTGGCATACATGTAGGAATGAGTAAAGACTGGCAGATACACAGTCATGTAGCCTTTCAAGGACAAAGTATCATACTGAGCTGGTAGAGGGAGGTGCAAGAATGGTCTTCAATACATGCACGTGTCATTGAGCATATTTTCTTTGGCTTCAACCACATGCTTTTTCAACACATTGATGATTGAGTATGTAGAATGAAACAAAATAGATGGTTTTCCTGTTTTTTTTTCCACCAATGGATATTTTTACCACCAACACTAATTCTTTCTCCTGATATCAGTTGTTATCACGATGACTGAAAAGTATTTGGGAATTTGCTTTTCATATTTTCAATAGCCAAATGCAAATGTAGGTGGCTGTGTAGTTCCACATGCAATTTTTGAATAGCAAATATATTCTTTAGTCCAATAATTTCATTCACACCTCTTTGACTACGTTTTCAACATTTGGTAAGAAAAACAACTTCTCATTTATTTACTGGAATAAATATGGAGGTAGCAATGCAAAATCACTGCACTGGTAAATTTGAATATGTCAAATGCCATTGACAGTGACCAATCCAAGCACCTCCCCTTGCCCAACCCAGCCCTACAGCGTTAATGACTACTCCCACCAGTTCACACTGTCCTAGTACCTGGTCAAACTCCTCCTGCGGCATGCCTGGGGGAGGTCCGTTCAGTATCATCCCGGGGGGTGGGCGCTTGTCCGGAGGGAGCGGCTGTTTGGGCTGTGCGTTAAAAGGCAGCCCCGAGGGGGTGGGGGGAGGGCTAGCTCAACCATGGCTGGAGGAATGTACACAGGGTGAGGAGGAATGGGGACCGCCTTGCCCCAGCCCAGCTGGATCTTGAAACTCATAATTTCCTTATCTGGAGATGAAAATATTCCGTTAGCGCAAACGTCACAGACAGTACCAACTATATCATTGCAGTCTGCAGAGATTTTTCATTATACAATTTTTTGTCATAGGCTTTTTTTCAAAGAGGCAATGTCAAAACCCACTGTAGACATAATCTACAGCAACCTTTTCTGTCAAAAGGCAGCAGAATTTTGTATGACAAATCCACGATCGTCCCAAGAATTAGGCTTAAGTAAATCAACATGATTCTCTGGAGAAACACTGAAGCATCCCCATCAACTTAATGAAAACAACAATGAAACTGCCCATATAATTGTTGAGAAGTGTACTGCAGCACTGTACTTCTTTATTTCTAATTTCCACAACTACTTACCTCTCAGAGAATTGAGTGCTCTCTCTGCATCCTTTCTGTTCATGTATGCTACAAAGCCACAGTTCCTGTTCCTGGCTCTTTCCTCCTCTGTTCTGGGCCACATAATTTTCACGCTAGCTAACGGTCCAAACTTCCCAAACTCCTGGCACAGCATCTCTTCTGTCATCTGCAAAATAAAAGTTGAAGAAGATGTCATGACATGCTGAACATTATTACTGATTGTTTTACTCCTTGAAAACATGATGAACAATGAGTGGTGCTCTCACAAAGAGGTCATCCCAAAAGTAAAATTAAAACCACCTCAACTACTTTTAAGATTTACTGTATCAACTTCTGTGGAACATTTGGAGGGATGAATCTGAAAAAGACTGCCTAAACTGACAACCTTTGTATTCATATCACCTGTGACTCATTACACATCGATAGGATCACATGTATACAAAACAAGTGAGTCAGTTATGCTGAAGTTGAAAATTTGTTAGTCGTTATTTCTTTGTGCTGGATTTTCAGTTAACCTCTGCCATAAAGCCTGTGTTTTCTTAACAGAGATTAAAATATAATTTCTCAGGCAAGGGAACCATGTATACAGTAAATGGAGATGTTTACACAAGCAGAGTGTTACATGATAAAAGCAAAATACCTTTGGGCTAATGTTCCCTATGTACAAGTTTGTTGTGGTAGGGTCCCCAGTACTGTCGTGTTCCGAAAAGCCTGAACAAGTGGAGGCAAAAAACAAGACAAGGTTGATAAAATGGAAGTTTCTCTCTACCTTTGGGTTAATGTTTCCTATATACAAGTTTGTGGTTGTGGGGTCCCCTGTATCGTGTGATCCAGACTGGTAGTCCTCCAGCACTGCACAGAGACACAAGTCTACAATTACTACAACACGGCACTGTAGTGTACAGCAACTACTTCAGATAAATGAGCACGTTGGCAGAACGTACTGCACCTGCGCAAAATCTGTAATGTATTGTGCATAGAACATCTCATATAAGGTGGTATTCGCACATATAAGGTTAAAATCCCATCTGTCTGTAGTTTCCAAATGTTACGTCGGAAAATATCTTCTGCAACATCCAAAATTTTGATGCAATGTTGACCAAAACATCCAACGAAAACTGTGAAAAATCAGAGTTTCGCACTGGCGCAGTACCTATCTGTATCTGTATCTGTAAAGCCAGTATAACGCGCCTTTTCTGCATAACACATCAGCTACGTTCTGCCGACGTGCTAGATAAATGTAACCAAGTGCCCAACTTCAATTTTGGGTGAAAAAAAACTGCATATGTACCCGTATTTCAAGCCCTGCACATGTTCTTTTCCAACTTGGCCCTTGAATTACTTATTGTTACTAAACATGAAGCACACATTCCTGCTCAAAGGGGCAAAGTAAAATGGTATTGGAAATCAATCACAGGAAATGAACATCAAAAAAAGTTAAGTTATGTGCAAATCTATGCTTCTCTTAACCACTATGTATGTTTGTATCCAACATTTACCAGTATCCAAGACCACATTGGTTAGTATTGGTGAGTTCATCTTGTCACTATACATAATAGAGTTTTGTTTAAATCATTTTTGTTCCATGATTGCAATTACCTTCATGTTAAAACTAATTTGCAAACAGGCATGTTAACAGGCCTTGGTATAACCCTTCTGTGTCCAACACTCAAGCAACTTAAAAGTGGAAGACTATGGATGAGATCAGCAAAACAAGGAAAATTGGGACATACATGTAGGTTTGCTGAGAGATAAGAAACTAGTCTCACTGAGGGGTTCGAATCTGCTTTGCCGCCCGGCCAGATCACTAACCCCACCGAACATCTGCTTTTTCAGTCGATGTCTCTCTTCCCTCTCCTCCTGAATACTGTAATATCACAACAGAGACTTGTCACTTCAGTAATCAATACAAAATACTTACTTAATATTGTTATCTTAGACAAAAACAATTAATAGTGTATGATAAAAGATAATGATAACACTCCAAAGCTGGCAGAGATCAAAAACAAGGAAACATCAGTAGACGTTTTCCAATACGTAATAGTAGTAAGGCAAAGACAACAACAACAATGTAAAAAAAATTGCTGCAGTACTACTTTGAAGGTATTGACTCTCCGAACACAGCACTTTTTAGGGCTAGAAAAGCCTTTGTGTCAGCCTTGTAGTTACACAAGAAAATGCATGAGACAAAATTAGAGATATGTGCACATGCAAGCTACAGTACTCACATTTTAAGTTCCTCCTTGAACAGTTCCAGGTTACTTTTCTTCTTGTCTTTTTCTTTCTTCTTCTTTGCACTCTCCTAGAAAAGGTATAGACATGTGAATCAGGGAAGAAAGAAATTAACAAATTAATTGCAGCTTTACTACCATTAAAATAAAAACGATTTTCATCTTTCATTATTTTCAAAATTGTTAACTTTAAATAGGTAGGGCAAAACTACATCATGTATGCTACATACACATCACCAACAAATGCTGTTGGAAAAGACAGCAAAAGCATCAATGCTGCAAAAAACATTCAGCAAACACTGACAGCCTCAAAGAGTTAACAGTTTTCTTACCGCTTTCTTCTCTTGCTCCCGTTTCATGATAGCGGAGATGGAAGGCTCTGGGAGTGGTAGTCTGGACGCAGGCTTGTACAGAGATCCTTTCTTGGAAGAAGTAGTCTCTTCTGCAGAGGAGGAAGACATATTATCATAGTGCTTGAGTATTCATTCAATAATGTTTCACAGGAAGGGAGACATGAACCACAACACATCAAAACTTACTCTACAGAGCTGGGAAATATAATACTGAGTATGTTAAGACTTGCTTTTGGTTTCTGGGTTGATGGTGTTCCCCCGAACCCATGTTTTTGGTCCTTGGCTGGCACTGTCTTCAAACGATGCCACAAACTCTTCAAACACCTGGGCAGCTGCCTTTTCCTCCTCCTAGGATGAAGAAAGTCAGACATTAGAAGTTTAAGCCAAACCCTGGAATTCACTGACTCTTGACATGAAATATAGACAGTGTAATCGATATTATATCACAGTATCAACTACTGATATATAGTACAATCACTACAATACCAATGTAGCCTGAGTACTATCCTGGTTAGTTTATGTGCACTCCGATAGTCGTGGTTGGTGGGTAATGAATATCGGAGCCGACATAAACTAGCCAAGATGGTACCCAGGTTGGTGCCAAAGAGCACAAGCTTTTGCTCTCAGTGCCTCTCACTAGCATAAATTTAGAGCAAAAATACATGACGGCACTGCCAGAAAATACAAACTACTGTACTACTGGCCACAGAGTAGCATAATTTACCGTACCTTCTTCTTGAGTTCCTCTTGCTCCTTTTTGCTGAGTGTTTTCTTCTGGTTCATGCGTCCCACGCTGAAGGCCTTCAGCTTCTGTTCAGAAATGGTCTGCAACATGGATGTACCAGTACCTTTCTTTACATTCTGAGTAGGGAATGGATTTACATCTCATTCAAACACCTTGTCACATAGAATACAGCTGAAACTTCCAACGCAGAAAGTAAGCACATTCGAATTTTGATACAACTGTCTTACTGCAGTCTTCCTCAGATCCAAACGACCAGTCAAGTGACCTTACAAGCATGTGTCATAGCATTTGGTCAAATGGTCGGAAACTTTATAATGCCAGCCTCATCAGGCTCATATCTCTGTTGAGTGTTGATGTTGTGTGCCTTGATGAAGATGACTCCTTCTCATACATTAGATTGCAGGCTTACAGCTGTAATTTTACCAAAAAGATCTGTTTGTACCATAGCATTTTTTTTTCTTTTTATGATTCATGAATTATGATGTCAAGCCTTCATTTTTTTTATTATGAGTATCATGTAAAGTTGCAAGTTGCTGATATTTCTTTTTGCATTCCTGAATATTCTTCCAGTGTTCTTCCAGGACTTCTCCAGTGATTTGAGCTGTCGTGACACACTAATTTTGATACCTTGATAGTGTACAACTGTTCATTATGTAATATGTGTGCAAATTTGCATATAAAAATGCTGGGATACGAGCAACAAAACAACATATGCAACCCGCCATCTAGGACAACAACATATAGCCACCACTGTACATATTGACAAAGATCATCCTGACAGAATTTAAGATGCTACAGGTTTCTGAATCAGCAAATGTAGCTCGTATGACAACCGCCCTCCTCCCATCTGCTTGCAGTATGTAAACTGTTCTTCCCCTGCCAAGATGCGTGGCAAAAACACCAACCCATGTGCGTAGTAGTTAGGAATACTGTCAGCGTATGCTGTGCTTGCAGTGAGTGTAACCTTCCCTCTACTTTATGTATGTCCGCCATGCTGAAAAAAATCGCTTGCTTGATCGTCAACTTTAACACCACTCATGTGCCTTATATCGCTTCCTAGTCCACAATTTCCGTACTCCAGACAAGCTAGGGTACTTAGAGAGCTACAGGGTGTGTAAACTGAGGTAAAGTACGTCCGATTTACCTTCATTGAGCCTGGAGTTAGACCCTCGCTTTTCAAGCCCCATGGAAGCTTGTCCGCCATGATGAACTCGTCACTACGAAAATTGCCGAGAACCAGCGGAAGTTGCCGAGTAATGCCGAGGATTTTACGAGGCGTGGCGTAGCATACTAGTACGCTAGTACGCCTGTCATAGTCTCGAACGTCAGACTTCTGTCAGTAGCTGTACATACTGTTTTTCAGAAAATATAATAGTACGTCCTGACAATACAAAAGACTACATTCTCGAACAAACGACAAAACGTTCTTTGTGATGATGCCGCGAGGCAGGGAACGTTACAATATATTATGTCTGCAGTACAGAGCTCGGTCGCTATGTAACCCAGCGTTGTTGATAACGTGAGGCAAGCTCAAGCTGACCACAGCTAACCGTCGAATTCTTGAAAACTAAGAAGTCTCAACCAACGAAGAAAATAGATAACGTTATAGATAAAAATAATCTTTCAATTATTTCATAGCAATTATGCAGTCTTTTATTATATCCTAAAGTTACACGATCTTTGCTGTCAGCAAAGTCTTCGTCTGAGACTATAAAAATTCGAATATGCATGTCGAACGTATGGAAGGCAGATAGAAGCCAGGTTCGAACCGTGAAAAGTTTACAACCAGACTAGCTAGAGTACAGTATTCACTCTCCTGCTTCAGCCTTCAACCTGCTCTTTCCCCTCTCGGTAATTACATAAGATCCGGCCTGTCACAGTCATCTCTCTGCCCCGATCCAGCTTGTCAACTACTAGTATGTTGTGGGGTCTCACGGAAACGCGCTACCGAAGCGCTGGAAGCCTATGGTTTGTATAACAAAGTTCGGGTTCCTTGTAACACGTGAACTGTTTTACGTTGGATTCCATTGGTAGTTTGTGTTGCTAACATGTCTGGATGAATTGGTTCAAGTCTCCTAAAACGTTATTGAACATTTCTAAAGTTTCAATGGTAACGTTACATATCAAAACGACCCTATCAAGAGGGTCTGCATGCCCTTTTTCGTTAACCGTTATGGGCTATTTTAATTTACCGTTAATCGTTGCCGGCCCGCTCTAATTTAACGTTAAGCGTTATCAGTATATTCCTCGTGAAGCGTTATTGGTCGTTTTAATTCAACGTAAAACGTTATTTGTCATCCTAAATTCAGCGTTAAGCGTTAATGAATAATTCTTCGTTACGCCTAATTTTGCCTTTCAAAGTGCAGGAAAATGCGTCATTGAAGGTTCAAAATACAAAATTTCCCGGGGGAGAATGCCCCCGGACCCCCCTACATTGCTCGCGCCTTTGGCGCTCGACTCGCGCTTCTGCGCTCGGTCCCTTCGGCTCTAGCCAGAACCAGCTTTCCTGTCAATTTCCGGAAGTTTGCGGAGAGTTACAGGATTTTTTTAAAGAATCCGTCAACCTTGACAGGCAAATTAACAAAAATCTTGAGTAAGATATGAAAACATCAGAAGGACCGACAAACACTCTCAACACCATGATTTGCCTCTCAAAATGTGGGAAATTGCGTTTTTGAAGGCTTAAAAATCCTAAATTTCCCGGGGGAGCATTCCCCCGGACCCCCCTAGATTACGACGCTCCCCTCTCGAAATCCACTGGGCAGACTGAAAAATGCAAGCTGGCTGACGTCGACTCGGACTCCCCTTTATTTGTGGACGCACTCGGGGACCAGGGCATGTGGGGAACACAGGGTACACATACCTTTAATGCGTGCTTCATTACATGTAAGATATACGTAATTTTGTCAGTGATCACCTTTTCTCACAAAGCGAGATACCAAATCCAGTGCAGCTCGAACGAAAAAAAGTCTGTCAATTTACCGTTAAGCGTTGCCGACCGTCCTGAATTTACCGTTAAGCGTTATCGGCCCTGCTGAATTCACCGTTAACCGTTGCCAGGACCCCCCCATGCAGACCCTCTATCAAGACTAGCTGTACGTAGCATTGCTCCTGGTGTCGAAAAGTACTTTATAGAGCTCTCTCCCTGTGTCTGAATACCACGCGGCTCTCCACGATATGCCAAAGAATCAAAATACATAAAGAGAAAACAGGATCTGTGCCACCTGTTACACGTACATCCCATGACTGTAACGGTACAGGATTTGCTGCATCTGTTACAAGCGTGTGCGACAGATGTGAAAAAAATCAATAACTTGACAGACTTACACACTGAAAATCAGCTCATTAAGAGAAAAGTCCGTTGAAACAGTGGCCTAGCGCTAGTTTCTGTAAGAGCCATTACTAGCTATAGAAACGCTAAGTTCACTAGATTTTAACCTGTCTTCTTCAGGAAGCTAGAATTTATGGCAATCAGAAGAAGAAAAGGGGGTCGAGAAGGAGTTAACTCGAGTGAAGCAGAAACTGATAACTATCAGGAGAAGAAAGATGCTGACGCTTCCACTACTGGGCTTCCATGGAGCCCTGTGTCCATCTTGTCGTTTGCTGTTGGCTTGTTCATGGCGTATTATTCGGGATCCACACATGGATGGCTCGTAATGACGCTGCACGAGAACTATCTGTGGTTCTCAAACATCAAGGTCTGTAACTCTATCTTCTACGCGGGCTTGTTCTGAATTAATTCTTAATATAAATGTGCCCGTATTTGTTTGGGATTGGATGTTATCTTAAGTTTTAAAAAACTTTAAGAAAGAAAGAACACATGCATAGCGCTACAAATCCCTTGCCAAAAAGTAAATTTTGATGTAACGGTGCACTCCCAATCAACCTATGTACATAGGAGGTGGAGAGAGAGATATCATTCCGTACGGAAACAGGCCTGTATTACTCCTACTACAAACAACTCGTCAATGCGCCCACTATTGCACAAGGTAAAATGTAGTTTCAAACGGAATTAAACCTACTAGTAATTTACGTACCTTTGCCGGATAGAGGCAATAAAAGAAAACGAAAACATGCGAAATTGATATAACGTTACTAGTATACCGATTTGCAATATTGCGTTTCACTGATAATATACGTGTGAAAATTAGCTCCATTCTGCGTTAGTTACTGTGCAACTGTTCCCCGTCCCTCTAACTAAGGTTTGTACGAGCTGGTCCATGACAACATCACAGAACACGGCAAGACTATCAATATCCTGGAGCGTTTTAACATCTACCAGGAGGTAGTGATGGCGCTGATGTACAGGATCTTGTCCTTGCAGGTGAGGTCATCTAACATTAGAGTCTAACAATCTTGTTAAAGTCCAACAATCTTCGTATGTTTCATTACTAGAAACATACGAAGTTTACGGAATACATACGATCCATTACGCGGAAACATACGATCCTTACTAATTTGGGGTCATTTAGGGTCATTTGGTGACTTGCCGCCGCGATCACCGGTTCCACTGTTTCCCTGAGCATCGCCCTGCTATTTGGTTTAAAATACAGGCTACTATGTCGTGAAAGAAACCTGTATATGTTCAGTTTGTGTTTTAGCAGGGCAGGATAAGTCCTTAAAATTCTTTGAAACCAAGATATTGTAGGGATAACAGCGCTATAATAGTCCCCCAATTTGCTGCCGATGATACATGATCGTGGTGCAAGTCACCAAGTTAGTAAGGATCATATGTATTCCGTGTAATTGATCGTATGTATTCCGTAAAATTCGTATGTTTCTAGTATGCATCGGATGTATTCCGTAAACTTCGTATGTTTCTAGTAATGGATCGCATGTATTCCGTAAACTTCGTATGTTTCCTAGTAAGGATCGTATGAATTCCGTAAAATTCTGATAAATTCTTTGGCACCCCTGGGGGAGTTAGTGAGTAAAATGGTTGATGTTTCTGTCCACAGAAAACAGTAGAACCGGTGTTCTTCTACATCCATGCCGTGTTTGGTCTCCATGCCGTACTGGTCATGTCCTTATATGGGACCACCTGGCTGCTGTCTGGCTCCTGGTTGGCTGGAATTCTATCTGCAGCATTTTATATTTTCAACAAGTAAGTAGTTTTGGGATGGAAAAAGTTGTACAAATGTACCACAGCATGTTTTGTTAGTATACCACCCTGGATACCTTTAGGCCAGGGCTTGTTTGGGTAGGGTAAGATTAAAAGTGTAATTTTATTCAATGACTAACATTTTCCAATGTAGGTGACTTGGGTTAGGCATAGTCTTACACACACACAGAGAGACTTCAAACATCTCACACACACTCTAAAACAGTGATAATATTGTGCTATTACATGTGATTTGAGGGTCCAGCTTTGTTCAAATAACTGTTTCATAACCTGTTAGTCTGAGACTGTGACAATGATATCTCAAAAATTGATCCCTGGATGTGTTGTGTTCTGATTTTGAGGCTCAAGTTGGAAATACATTGTACGGAATGATGCAAACAATATTTCATGGGGATTTGGCATATCCTTTGTCCTTATCAATCCCTTTAGAAAATGTTTCTCCAAGTAAAGATGTTTTTCCAATGTTCATTTAATTATTTCCGTAAATACCGACAGAGCTGACACGACCCGGGTGGAGTTCACCATAGCTCTGCGGGAGAGCTGGGCCTTTCCTTTCTGGTACCTGCAGATGTTTCTCCTAACAGTGTTCTTTCATCCAAACCTTCATCGCAATCTTAAGGTGAGGATGCATTTTAGAATTTTGTATCCCCGTCCCAGTTCACAAGTTAAGTCAAACCAACAACTAGATGTAGATTTTACATGTAGACATTGGTAGGTGAAAGAATGGAAAAGCCCACATACATGTATGTGTAAGAAATAAACATCAGGTTTACATATCATGCCAATGGTATTAAGTGCACTATTTCAAATGTGACTCTTGCTTTTACACATTCTATATCTGTACTGGAAAAAGGAAGTCTTCTACATGTACACCAGGATTTTTTCCTTGATGATGTTGCAGGTGGTGACCGTTGTGCTCCTGTGTATCTGTACCTTCTGTTTCACCCTAACATGGCAGTTTGCACAGTTTGCTCTGCTACTCCAGGCCATGGCTCTGTTTGGATGTGCAGTCCTGGATGTCATCCCAGCACAAAAGGTTGGTAGATCAAATTTAAGTGATAGCTCTACCTATCAGAATTATAAATTTTCAGTCCATTTGCCTTTTTTTATTCAAATTATAAAAGATTCATTTTTTTTGTCAAACTTGCTTGTAGCGAAAGTTTGCTTCCTTTCATTTGGTTTTGTCCTAAGCCACAGCTTTCCTAATCCTATTCGATCAGCCACTAATTAGGTAATTTAGAAGTAAAATAAAAGATAGGTAATTTAGAAGAAAAATAAAAGAATGCTGCATCTCAGTCCCCATTATGTTAAGTGGTTGTTGAAGCATTGCTGATTTTGTTGCTTTATGATATGCAAATCCTGGATTGTCTTGTCTTCACACTTCCAAAAGAGAATAATTTGTTTTCCACAGATCAGACAGGTGTGGCTGATCCAGGCAGGGAGTCTTCTGGCTGTCTGTGTCTGTCAGTTCTTTAACAAGATGGTCCTCTGTTCCCTGGTGCTCAGCTTTATCCCTTCTGCCATGCTTGTCATTGCATTCAAGGTAGGTCCTCCTGGTCAGAATTATTTCTTGAAAATCTCCTCTGGTGAAAGAACAGGCAATTTTATTGTGAGTGTTCTTCAACACTGTCAATGTCAATGTGAATGTCGTTTAGTACCAAGGACAGCAATGTCAGTGTGGCTATCATTCAGCACCAAGGACAGCACGTTACTGTGAATATTGTTCAGCACCAAGGATAGCAACGTTAGTGTAAATTTCATTTAGCACAATGGATAGCTGTGCAAGTATGGATGCCATTTAGCTCCATGGACAGCAATGTCAGTGTGGATGTAATAAAGCATAAGGGACAGCTATAAATGTCACTGTGAATGTCATTCAGCACCAGGGACAGCAATATCAATGTGGATGTAATAAAGCATAAGGGACAGCTATAAATGTCACAAGGAATGTCATACAGCATCAGGGACAGCAATATCAATGTGGATGTAATAAAGCATAAAGGACAGCTATAAATGTCACCAGAATGTCATTCAGCACCAAGGACAGCAATATCAATGTGGATGTAATAAAGCATAACAGACAGCAATACCACTGCGAATGTTATTCAGCACCAGGGACAGCAATGCAGCATGAATGCCATTCAGCACCAAGGACAGCAATGTTTGTGTAATTTTTTTGGCACAGCTTTATGCCTTCACTGAATGACCATTGGCCAGTTATGATGACCACTTTTTAACATGACAGGAGCAGTTCTTGACCAGAAGAAGTCTCCCATGGCAGCTTACTGGGCTTGTTCTGAATGTCGTCCTGGTGATGATATCAATGCTGATGTTCAACAAATATGTCATTAAGGTAAGGGCTTTTTCATTGAGAATCAAGTGTCGTGGGCTTTCGAAACAGCAGATACATAAAACCTAATTCATCAGCAAGTTAATCATGTTGTAACTATGTCAGTGATCAACAATGTGGTTTATAGGTGTCCTTATTCTAGATAAGAATTTACTTCTGTAACTAGTTATATATAGATGTAGTAAAGCTTTTTATTCACAACCACTTGTTTAATAAGAGCTGCCATTTTGATGACGATCTGTCATTTTTATCAGGGCAATATTATGGCACCGTGAACTACCCCCGGTAGTCATAATTGCCCTGATGAAGATGACAGATGGTCATCAAAATGGCAGCCATGTTAAGAAGTTAACTAATAATGTTACTGTAACGTTGATATCTTTCAGACCATCATTGTAACAGATGCAGACCAGCACATATTTCACTTTCTGATGGGAAAGTTTGGTTTGAGCGGTGGCCAAAGAGACTTTGATGCGCAGCTGTATCTGTGTGAAACAGCGTTTGGGGTCCTTCCATTAGACACTTTTGTCCGTCTCTCCAAGCACCTTGTGTTCCCCCTGTATGCTGTCATCCAGCTATGTCTTCTACTGGTTTTGATGCTGTCAGTTCTTCAAAACTGGAGGTATTCTAGAACATTTCTACACTCCTAATCATAACATATTTATGATAATTCACTCCCTAAAGTACTAGTACCTGTTGGACATGTTGTAGTTTTGGAGCCACTTTATTGGTGAAATATTCACAAATTCAATGTGTCTTTGTGATTTTCATTTGAACAAGGCACAGAAGATGCCTACATACTTTAATAACTCAAGAATGGGTCAACTATCAAGCAATATAACTCTATCTGGATATATCAGTTACCAGTAAGTTTGGTATCACCCACACCAAGTCATAGTTCTTGGACAATTTTGAGTCAACATTTAGGTACACACAGCATGAAAACATGGGTCCTAGAGGAAAACTTCTCAGATTTTTTTTCTATGTTGATCTTTATGTACAGTGTTATCTTTTGAAGATACAAACACCAATGAATTGATTTGGTGTAGCATAGGAGAGAGAGAGAATGGTTTATTCAATAAAAAACCTTTGCAGCAGTGCTGAATTGCGGTTTCTGTACACAAATACTTAATTGAAATATAAGACTTATCAGCATTATACATTACAAATAAGGATTAAAACAAGTCACAAATTCTAGAAAATCACTACTATCACAACTTAAAATTCTCTTATAACATTAACTAACATTAACTGTCATTCAGCAGGCAGATACAGTAAGGTAGTGTACTGTTCAGCATACGCTGTATTGGACATTAAGCACAAAAAGAGTCTAATATTTTCTTCATTTTCTTCTCCTCCTATGTACAGTACTGAAGATCCCGCCGCATGCAATGGCGTACAGAGTCCATCTCTGTCTTCAGTTCCCCCTCTGCTATCACAGCGGCCACAGCTAGCCTATCATGCCATCTCTGCAGCCGTGTTTGGGTGTCTGGCTGTCTCTACCATGAGGTTCAAGTATCTGTGGACCCCACACATGTGCGTGTTAGCTGCTGCCGGTGTGGCTGATTTTGAGGCTTGGAAAATCCTTCTGAAAAAGTTGCATGTAGACCTATCAGAGGGTAAGGTAAGACAGTCATACTAGAACACTACTTCTCTACATATCTACTTCTCTTGTTTAAGTTCTCGTTGCAATTGAAAAGACTTTTGAAAAAAAAAATTCCTACTTACAAAACGTAGGAATTTCTCACATAATTCATAATTTGCCAATTTCAAGTCATTTCAGAAAGAATTTCGAGAAACATGCCATCTGAAATCCAACATATCCAAATGAAGATTTTTTTTTCTTCACAAATGTTGACAACACAGTTTTAGATATACATTTTGTACATGTAGATTCATAGACAATAGAGTTCATATTCCTTCCAGGTTCAGCTCTGCAGACATGTCGTCACAGCTGGAATATTGGCCCTGCTGTTTGCTGTGGTGAGTTCCTGCAAGCAAACGTTATGATTGTTCTTCTCTTCAGTATTGTTTTGTTTTAGAATAAAGGCATCATTGGGCTAAGGAAAGTTAAATGTAAGTAACTCAACGACGGTAGCACAGACTTTCTGCAACTTACTTTACAGAAGCGGTGGATTGTTCATTCCTTGACAAAGACTAGAGTTGTACATAAATGTACAGTTGAAGATTTGGGTAAGTCCAATCCCTTGTGTTGGAAATCATAACGTACATGTACATGCATGTCTCCTCAGGCCTTGCCTTCTACTCTTGAAGAGCTGAAGCTGCTGAAGGAGTTTCACGACCCTGACACAGTTCAGCTCATGGAGTGGATCAAGTAAGCACAGAATCCTGGCTGTGTGATGATTATCAGTCATGTTAAAACCCTTTTGCTGCTGAAGTCTTCATGAGCGTGACTTACAGGCATGTAGGCAGTGTGGTTTCCAATCACAGTAATGTTGCAACGCTTTGTGTAACATTACAATCTGTCTATGCATCCAGGTACATTTGATTAAATTTGAGTTGTTGGCTAAAAAAATATGGTTGAATTGGAATAAATTGTCAACACGAAATGCCAGTCCAACAGGAAAGTCTGAGTGTGTTTTAAAGTTTGATACAGTGGGTCAAGTTTTCTTCTCAGTCAGGCTTTCATCTTGATCTTTTGTTAAATTCTCACTTAAAAAATGATTGAAATAATTTGGTGTGGCCATTAACTTCCCGTGCTTTTATACATGTAACTTAGTGGTCAATACATGTAACAAGACTCTTAACATTTGTCAACATTTTTGTTTTTGTGTTGTTGGTAGAAAGGAAACCCCAACTACTGCAGTCTTCACCGGCAGCATGCAGCTGATGGCAGGTGTTAAACTCTGCACGGAACGTCCCATCACCAACCACCCTCACTATGAGGACAGGGACCTGCGCAACAGGACCAAACAGGTGGGACAAGTGTACAGATAACGTTATCTGTCATGATGATCACATTGCATGCGAACATCACTGTACATTTTAAGTAAATACATATAACATAATCTGAGAAGAATGGATACTATGAAAGAAATTCTCTCCATCTAGCATCATATAGTAGCCTGGGTACCATCCTACTTGTATGCTGGGGCTCCCACACTCACTTCCGTAAGAAGTACTTGTTAGGGAAGCGAGTATGGGAGCCCCGGCATACAAGTAGGATGGTACCCAGTCCATCATATAGAACATCAAGCTCACAATATTCCTAATTTCCAGTAAGAAAACTGGTGTTGCAATTGCCATTTGTTCCTCTAACATTCAGCATGCTAAGGTAGCCTTTTGGCATCAAATTTGTGTAAGTTACCAGGCTAGGCAGCGGGGAGAAGACCAAGTTTCCATAATATTTTATCAATCTCTTTCTCTCTCTCTCTCATACACACACACACACACACACACAAAGACATACTCACACACAGGGACACAGATACACACACACACGTCCACACACACACTCACAAATACACACATTATGATTATCACGGTTTCTTGGTCTCCAGTTGTACCAGATCTATGGTAGGAGACACCCTCAGGAGGTCCATGCCATTCTCAAGGCTCACGGCACCGGCTACATCATTGTAGAAAACAGCATCTGTTATGAGAGAGGTCACGGTGTGGGCTGTCGACTTCGAGATCTTGTGGACATGAGCAACAACCATGTGAGTGCCACTGACTGTAGATGTAAGATGTGTGTGTGTTGGGGGAGGATACAACTGTATTTGTATGGCCAGTATAACTGCCTCAGCATAACACATCGGCTTTGCAAAAGCACATGGTACGGTGGCAGCTGGCTATATTACACTGACGTTGTAACGACTTGTTACACCTAACCCTCAAACATCTAACTCTAAACATTGTTAAATGCTATCTAATGATAATGCCCCTCCTGTACAGTTTAATACTCATTTTGTACATCATAGTACATAGTCTGCACATTTTTTGCACTTCCTTTATGATCTTTGATTTGTTTGTTTGTTTGTTTGTTTATTGGTTCGCATATATTTAAAAAAAAACAACAATAAAATGAACATATTACTGACAATAAAATAAAATGCTGGGGAAAGATATGAAGCCATAGTGGCTTGTCTGGGATCTTCCCCGACAAAATTAATTAACAACTGAAATAATACTAACAAATCAAATGGTAATAATAAATAACAATAAGTAATTAATAAATTTGATCAATATGATCAATATGATAATGGTAACAAAACAAATAGTAACATTGAGTAACAAAAGTGATTGATAAATAACGCTAATTACAAATAATATGTTAAAACATAGGTTAACAGCAATAACTCAAGAAAAATAAAATAGAATTTTAAAAAGAAACGGAAATTCAAAACTTATACAGATGTAATCACAGTAATAAGACATCAAATGTCAGTGGGAAATAAAAGTATGTGATTTTTAAGATTTCATTTAAAGCTAATTATTGATGTTAAACATTTTAGGTGGAGCGGGAGATTATTCCAAGTAGTTGTACATTTATATTTTACACTCATTTGGGCTACGGACGTTCTAACTAGGGGGATATGGAAATGGGCACTTTGTCGAGTTTGGTAAGTATGAAAATGGGAATTAAGATTTAGAAGACCATTAAATGTGTCTGGAAGAGAACAAGTAAGGAATTTAAACGTAAATAGCATCAGATGAAGTCTGTTTATATCAAAAATATTCAAAATCTTAAGTTTTGTAAACAAAGGTGCAGAATGTGCGCGGAAACTGGCGCCGGTGGCTGAACGAACAAATCTTTTTTGGAGTAATACTAGGGGCTGTAGTGTGGTTTTGTAGGCGCATCCCCAGACTATATTCCCGTAGGTTAGATATGGGTATATTAAGCTATTGTATATGGTAATAATGGTTTTTGAGTAAGAAGATGTTTAAGTTTTCCAATAATACCAATAGTTTTGAAATTTTTTACCTAACTATTAGTTATATGTGGTTTCCTAGGTTAATCGTTCATCAATGATTATACCTAAGAATTTGGCTTGACTCTCTTGAGAAAGGGTCACATTTTTTAAAAAGATTTTGGCGCTTCTATTGTAGGTTTTATTTCTATTACAGAAAATGAGGTAGTATGTCTTCTTAACATTGACTGATAATTTATTTGCCTCAAACCACGATATAACCCTTTTCCAATTCTTCGTTAGCCAGGTTTACTAGCGTATCAAAATTCGAGTTTGAAAGAAAAAGATTTGAATCATCTGCAAATAGGATAAAGAAAATAATTGAGGATGCTTTTTCGAGGTCATTTATATAAATCAAAAAAGTAGGGGTCCTAGTATCGAACCCTGTGGGACACCACATTCTATTATTTTAAGTTGTGATTTATTATCATTAAGGGTTACGTATTGCTGTCTATTGGATAGATAAGAAGAGAACCATTTTATTGCGGAGTCACATATACCATATCGTTTTAGTTTATTGAGTAGAATGGAATGATTAACTGTATCAAAGGCCTTTGATAGATCGAGAAAGATTCCTATAGTGTATTCTTTATTATCTATAGCGGTAGAAATTTTTTTCCATTAAGTGTATGAGTGCTAGAGAAGTAGAATAGCCCTTTCTGAAGCCATATTGGTGTTTATATAGGATGTTATTTTGATTTAAATGTTTCAGAAGACGATTGTATACTAGTTTTTCCAAGACCTTAGATACACAGGGAAGGACAGATATTGGTCGATAGTTATTAACACTAAGTGGATCACTGCTTTTAAAAATAGGCGTTACTTTTGCGACTTTTAGTGGGTGAGGGACAACTCCATTTTGCAAGGATAGAGACAGAATATGCGTTAGAGGGACAATAACATAGGGCAGTGATAACTTTAGTACTTTAGGGCTTATTTCGTCATGACCAGCAGCTGAGTCTTTTAAGTTTTTGATAATATCTGTAATTTCAGCACCAGTTGGTGGTATAAAAGTTGATAGGTTAGAATTTACTTGTAAGGTGATGTAGCTAAGAGGGTCTTGTATTCCTTTTGGGATTTTACTATCAAGTGTAGGTCCAATATTAATGAAAAAATCATTGAATTCGTTACATATTTCATCTTTATTTTCGGTAGTTTTGGTACCAATTTGTATTTTGTTTGGACCAGCTGATTTACTTTTATTACGATTTAAAACGTCATTTATCAGGTTCCATGTTTCTTATTCCAGATTGTTGAAGGAGGGCTTAGAGGCCCTGAGGACCACCCTGCGACACATTCCCGCTTCTGTCACGCCATTCAGAGTGGGGGACCAGAATATAGGAAATACTTCACCATGGTTTTTCAGAACAAGACTTTCCGTACTTACAAGGTATCATAAAAACTGCAGCAAGTGTACATTGTACATGTTGTAGTGATACTGATGTGTTAACCATTCCCCAATGATTTCATTATTTACTGTATCGTATCACAAACTTGATGTCTACCTAGTGCCCCATTGACTGAGTCTAGCGAGGTATCACTTCCTGTTATCTATGGTACATGCTTCATGGACTTCCACCTTTGTTGTTTCCTAATCCAAAGTGATGGAATTTATAATAGGCCAAACACATTTGACTTGAGTATTGTCGCAGTATAGATACCTTTACCTGTTTGCAGAATTAAATCAAGAAGTCTTCATTGCATGTGCTCTTTTTTCAGTTCCCATTTCCTACTTTTCATTCTTTTAGTATTGAACCAGGACTTCATACATGCATTATCTATCCAAAACCAAGACACAACAGAAGACTAAGACCAAATTATTCAATTCAACATGATAACTTTATTCCCTGCCCCTTGGAAAATTCACATATCATAAGTCAGACGTTGAGATACAGGCAGATACAAAAGCAGCTCCCTAACTACTTCACATACATGTAGGGCTAATTACTGTACTTGAGTAATCTGGCAGCACTATAGATAACCAGCAAATAATGGTAGGTTAGTGTCTACTCTTGTGTCCTTTTATGAACATAATTTATGCTTGAGATACAGTTTCTTGTTAGTGATAACCAGTACTTTCTCCCTAGCTTACAAACACAGACTTACAAGAAAGCTATTTGCTATTTGCAAGCAAGAGAAGTTGCTTAAGCTTTTTCTTTGTGGGTTGATTGTAATGTTACAGAAAAACTCTCTGCTAAATAAAAAAAGAGAAAGAATGAGTACACATCTCTTGAGGGTTTCTTGTCCACATCCTTTCACAAAAGGAGTCACTTCTTCATAAACAGTCAAAAAAATCTCCTATTTTCTGTACACCATGGTGGACAAGGAGTACTCACTATGACAGGCAAATAACAAATATTCCTTGCAAGTAAGCGACTAATTCTGAAATGTTACCGATGTAAGTAAATACAAGGCGCGTCTAAAAAACTACATCTAATGCTTTGGCACATTGTCTCCATTGTACACACTTTTTTTTTGCTTTGTTGTAAAGTATAAAGCCTAGTTATTATGTATCACAGTATTCCAGTATACTTAAATAGCACCATTTGAAGTCATGCACACGAATGCACATCCTATATGATCTCTCAGTGAGATTCGAGACAAATCTGAATAGAAAAATATGTCTGTATACAAAATGATCATGCTTACTTTGCTGGAAATGTTAGGAAAAGGACAAATCACATAAAAATGTGATATTAAAAGCTATTCTTACTCCCACTATATTTCTCTACTGAGTAAAAAACCTGACTGTTGGTAACAAGATCTAAAAATCTACGACAATTATCACATAACATAGCACCGTGTTTTTTTGGGGGGGTAGTGGTGAAACACATTGTTACATTAGCATGAAATACAAGCATAATTATGTCCAGAAATCAAAAATCCTATGTCAACATCTTTTTTTTTTGACAGGATAAAGAATACAATCACATTTACATATCAAACACTGGAGTTTTGTCTAGTTTATCCTTGGTTACTTCCCTCCTGTGATGCTTTCTGCTTCTGAGCCGAATGGCCGCCCGGTGTCCCCTCGTGGAGGTTGGTAACGCATGCAGACCTGACACCTACTGATGCGCTGCCGTAGGTTACCTGCCTTTAGAGTTTCTGGGTTGGGCGTTCGGAATTCAGAGCCCTGTTCAATGGTTGTTAACCAGAAGCTGTACGTGGTGGCGTAGTAATTGCACGTGCCCCTGCCATGACACTCGATGAATGGCGATGAGCGGAAGTCCTCCAGACAAGACCCTGGCGACGCCAGCGCTTGTCCAGTGCCCTCAGCACCTGCACCAGTGTGCTGGAAGGACAAGGGAGGAGAGATAATGTTAATGCAGTGTACTACTTTCTCAACATACAGAATCATAGCATACCTTACGTAAAATTCAGTTAGCATTTGTACAGATACATGTATATCTGATTCAAATCTTATCCCATATCCAGCACATCCTTAGTAGATAAATTAATGCCAGTTAAAAGATTGAAAGTTAATTTTCTATTGTTTAAAGGACAAGTGATGTGCATCAATCTACGTCTAACAATGGTCATTACAAGTAATGAGTATAGCTGAGCTTTAACATAGTCGAATACGGCTTGATTCTTTTTTCCATCTATGATACCTTCCATGCTATATACATATATCTAGACCACATGTAACATATATCTAGACCACATATGAATAAACTGACCATGACGAAGCTGTAGCCCATCCACAGGCTGCTCCAGCCGTTCGGACAGGGTGGGATGGTCAGCGCCTGACTGTGGACGGCCAGGACCTGGGCGGGGGCCTCGCACACCACGCATCTACTGATGTAAGGCTCGATGGCACGGCCGCGGATGGGCGCCATGCTCATGGTCATGGGCTCGGGGGTGGACAGCCAGTAGGAGTAGTCGTTTCTGGAGGCCACCTGGCACTGGTTGTTGATGTTGCAGAAGAGGAATGGCATGACGCTGAACCTTCTCAAACAGCTGCCAGCCGTGCCTGTTAACACAAGGACATGTCACGTTATTAATATCTGCACCCTGGTGGACAAAAACATGCGTACATAGCAAACAAACTATCAAACATTCATGTCCTGAAAGTACTGACGTTTCTTTAGTCTATGTATGATCTACAGCCCACATTTACAGGTACATACTTTTCTGTAGATCCTTGAAAATGCAGTTAATATCTGCACACCGGTAGCCAAAAACAAATTACATAGGAAAACTTAACATGTCATGACGTTCATCTAAACAATGTTCAGTCTACATGTACATATTCTTCTGCAGATCCTTGATGAAAATACAGTTGACAAAGGTTGGTAGAGATTTGCCACATCAGGTTTATCAAAAGTGTGGTGATAGGAAGGCCTCACACAGCCCTGTGTACTGACCTAGATCCTGTCCGTGTGTTCTCTCGTTGCCCTGTGTGTACAGCAAACTGTAGCCATCCATCATCTTGGTGGTGTAGCGCGGGCACGTGGGTACCTGAGTGGTCTGGCTGTGTCTGGCAAAGATGTAGCCTTGGTTGCCGCCGCTGGCTCCTGGGGCTCCGGGCTGTCCGGGGAAGCCAGGAGGACCAGGGGGACCACTAGTACCAGGAGGACCTACAGGAATAATATTAATGTACAGTAGTTAAACTTCATGTGCATGTTTGTCACAAGCTTGTTTCAGTTTATCATCTCAGTCAACAAATTCAGCTTACTTACTTGTCCTCCGATACTTGTCTAAAACATCACCATCATCTCTTCAATACCTTCACAACAAATTAGCAAACATTGCAATTGGTTAAAAGTGCAGTGTGTGCTCACAATACAAATTGCTTTGGTTGGAATGCGAATGCTGTGCAGTACTATGGTGCCACGATTTCCCTGCTTTCCTTTACATTTCGCAGAGCAGTGTGAATTCTATACTGAGGCGAGTGACTTACCTTGCAGACCAGGAGCACCAGGGTTTCCTTTGGTTCCAGGGAACCCAGATCTTCCAGGAAGACCTGGGTTTCCTTTGGGACCTGGGTAACCTGGAGGACCAGGTGGGCCAGGCAGGCCGTCGGAGCCTGAGGAACCTGGCTGGCCTGGGCCTCCTGGGAACCCAGGCTCTCCCTTCAAACCAACAGCTGGGGGACCGGGCAGGCCGGGATCACCCTTAGGACCAGGTAGACCTGGAACAGAGAAAGGGGGTACATGTAAGATTAACTTTAGAACTGCCTGAACGATACCATTCACTTGAAATAGACACAACACTGTAAAACTATACCAAAAAATTTGCTAGGGCATTAAAGCAGGACATCGATCTTAGACCAACAACCAGAAATAACTGCCAATCTCGTACCAGAGAAGCCAGGGTTTCCGGGTTGGCCAGGGCCTCCGGGCAGACCAGGGCCGCCGCGGTCTCCCTTTGGTCCTTGGAATCCGCCAATGCCAGGTGATCCACGCTCTCCCTTCGCTCCGGGGAAGCCGGGGGATCCAGGGGTACCCTACACAGGAATTCAGAAAGATGTGTTTAACACCTGACCATAGTACCGTCAATTTTCATGATTCATAGCTATCCTTCTTGAATTTATGTCTAACCTTTTGTCTAACTTTTCATGCTGGGATTAAGAACCAATAGTCAACTTCATAGTTTTTTTAACCCACCGATAAGGCAATAGTCCTTTCTGGTTGCATATCTGGAAAAAAAGTAGTGGAATTTCTGGTCAATGGTTTACTTACCATGGGGCCAGGTGGGCCAGGGAGTCCTCCACCAACACTCCTACCAGGCGGTCCCATCGGACCAGGTTCTCCCTTCTGTCCGGAGAATCCAGGGCGACCAGGGCCGCCAGAGGGACCCATGGGACCAGGACCACCTGTAACAGAACGGAAATTTCGTGTTACTTGTACCTGCAGAGCTAGAGTACTGGAAGGAAAATCAAATCTGACACAAGGGGACAAAAAGAAAGAGAAAGAATGTTACAATTTGATGCACAATGACATCAGAACTGACCATCACGACCAGGACCGCCAGGCACACCAGCCTCTCCCTTCTGTCCAAATCCTCCACGTCCGGGTGGGCCAGGTGGACCAGGAGGGCCGCTGAACCCAGGGCCTCCGGGAAGACCAGCCTCTCCCTTTGCACCGGGGAATCCAGGTCGTCCAGGGGGACCGGGAAGACCAGCCTCTCCCTTACCACCTGAAGGTTGCAAACAAACAAACCTGAGTGTTTGCTAAGCTACTACATGTGTATACAAGTTGTGTGCATGCAGAACATCTGACACTTACCACATATAAACATAAGAACACCATTAACTGATACTCCAATTTCATGCTACACACATTTATAAGGTGAATCTGTTCGATTCAATACATGAGAACTCATAGCTATTGTCATCACTGTGTTCTGCATCTTCAGTCATTGGAACATCCTACAGTTGTGTTCAGTCAATCTTTTTGGATTTTCGCCTGCACCTTGTATTATTAGTGAAAACAAGAGATGCTTACCAGGTCGTCCAGCAGCACCAGGCAGGCCAGCACCACCTCTTGCAGCCTCACCCTTCTGACCAGGGAAACCGGGGCCTCCAGGACCACCGTCGCGACCAGGGCCTCCAGGAATGCCAGGTTCACCTTTAGGGCCGGGGAAACCGGGAGGACCCTGGGGTCCGGGACGTCCAGGGCCGCTGGGCGGGCCGGGGTTACCTCTCTCTCCCTTGGCACCGGGGATTCCAGGGGTACCTATGTGGTGCAAGGTCTCAAGTGTCAACTCGTACTCACTATCCGGTTTAGCACTATTAAGAAAAATTGCCAATGGACATATAGTGCAGTGTACTAGCCAGGCTGAATTTTCCCCCACCATCTCAATTTTGTTTTCTACACAGTGCTCTCTGGCAATTTGCATCAACGATTTGTCAGAGAATTTCATTCGTAATATCATGCCCAGCATAGACTGCAACTATCTCAGGAAATTTGGAAAACTTGACCCTCTGAAATGATATTTCATGCATCTTATATTTTGTTGGTAGACTAAGCTTAGTTGAATGTCATCTCTTTCCATGCATGTTTTTTTTAAAAATGGATTGGGAAAATTTTCGTCTGTCATGAGCAGCAAATTTCCATCAAATGAAAGAATGATTGACGCTGGCTAGAACACTGAAATTGAGAGAATATAAACAGTATGAACAGAAAACTTCACACCATTGCATGGGATTCAATTAAAACTCTGAACCCTTCAACGGGGAACCAGATACCAGGTACATAATTGTTTTCTACCAAGTTCTTACCAAAGAAACAACACGCAATGATAGAAGGTCATGTAGACATTGTTAAGTCAGCCAAGGTCCCAACTGTTCTGTAACCTCTGGCAGTGATTGGGCAGTCCAACATCTACTGGTGAAATGTACCATGACCAAACAACTATGTGACACTTTATACAGTTTCCAGACACTTTAAGGAAAAGTTTTAACTTTGTAGTACCAGACAATAAGATCACTACAGTCGACTTTTTTGACAGAAGATATGGAGATGATGCCCCATCTCCTCTGTAGGTGACATTGTCTGAGGACAAAGTCTGGTGAATGTATGAACTGATGTCGTTTCTCCGGATGTGTGTGCCACAGCCTTGCTCACTACCTGTGGTGAACTGTCCTACCTGGGGGTCCGGGGGCTCCTACGGCAGAGGCTTCTGCATCTCGACCTGGGGCACCTGGGGATCCTGGCAAACCAGGCTCTCCTTTGGTACCAGAAAAGCCAGGAGAACCTGACCGTCCGGGCTCACCCTGGTGATATTAACAGTCAGAAACATACCGGTTAACCCCAACCCACCACGTGTAGCTAACTCTATGCTAACTTGTCTATCAATAGAAATCCCAAGGTTGATGCGTGAGTGAGGTTGGTGACCACAACCTTGTGTTCAAGCCACTTTCCTCACTCACACAACTCCTTGGAATTGTATTGATGCTTGTTTGCGTCACTGGTACCACCAACCGTCCGCGAGAACCCAGTCAGCCTGCAAGAAAAACGTTTGGTTAGTCCAGTCTGTCCGCACGTTGGCCGTCTGTGTCTACGCCTGTTTACCTGGTAGTCCAGGAGCTCCGCGAGCAGCAGAGGTGGCATCTCTGCCGGGCTGCCCAGGTCCTCCAGGGAAGCCAGGCTCACCCTTAGCTCCAGGGTAGCCGTTGCCACCTGGCCTGCCAGGCTCACCCTAAGGTGTAAAAGGGACAACAGGACGGGACAGTTTACAGCAGGGGTTGGTCCAATGGTGTTAAATGGACAGGCTCTGTTACTGTAAATCGTGAAACTTTCACACTTGTTTTAGATTGGCAGAGACCCCTTCACTGCATTACTGTTCTACAGAATTTTTTTCAACCACAAACTATAAAAATGTAAAAATCCCCCTCTTAGGCCACACCAATTTAATTTCTTGGTTAACGGATTCGCCGCTTCATTTTTTTCTGATTTGCAAATAATAATAAAAATTCAGAATCAACTGCAAAATGCTTATATTTTGCCCTGAACAGTTGAAAACAGTCCTTTAAATCCTAGTTGTTAAAGTTTTTCCATCTTTCAATGCAGTGGTATCATTGAAAGTTCAAAATGAATGGCTTAAATTTTGAACCAGCTTGGTATGTTGACTTCATGGCTCCTATCGTACCATTTTGGGCCATAATAGGATGCCTAGGGTTTTTATTTTTATTATTTTTTCGCCCGCCCGCTCCATTATTTTTCTTGAAAAATCCATTAACCAAGAAATTAAATTGGTGTGGCCTTACCATAAAAGTTTCATGATTTACAATAATACAAAAAACAAACTCAAAAAGTTAATGCTGTTAACAAGTTGCAGCACAGATCTGTAAGTAAGAAGACAGGCAGGAGGGCTTGATTGTTACTATTTAACATGCGTCCAATAGATACACAAGACAGAGCAGTACTTCCTCAGGCAGTTTTCTGGATTATATCTTGAATATGCTGGCAGAGAATCCTCTAAACGTGTTAGAGTTGTGGTTAAGGTTTATTGAGGAAGACAAGATATCACTATGGCATCAGGTTGTTCCAGGGACAAAAAAGTAAGGCCATACAGGAAATATTATTATCAATCTACCCATACTTCTTTTTCAACAAACATCCCTCTTGGTATTTTTCCCTTTTAAGCAAAAAAAATAATTTTTTTTCCCTAGATGTCTTGCACCTAACTTTATCCCTGGAACAATCCATTACATTATCTCTGTCAAGCATTCTCATAAAAACAGATAGGAGCACACCAATATTTTACTGTGACTAGGGAATGAACTAGCCTTGTCTTTGGATCTAAATTGGTGTGATCCACCGAAACATTTTAACTGCAGCTTGATTGGGATTTAAACTTTGGTAGCTATCAGTGGTGGTCTGAAGCAAAAATTGTTTGCACCTTTTTTTGACAGAAAACTTAGGTGTGCTCCAAGATTAATATTACACAGCAAACAAAGAGGTAGACAAGTAATATTATCATAAATACAGTTAAAGGTACATTAAGCCTTAAATGCATGACATGAAATTAAAAGGGCTAATACTTTTTAGTGCATGTACAACTAAGTTCAAATATCTACTAGTTAACTAAAGTAGTTTGAAGAGACTGTAAAGATTTCAAATTCAAAACATTTACAGGTGTACTTTAATTAACTTGAAATGCTAGGCCCTCTTGACTTTAACTGACCCTCTAGAATTGAACAAACACAAATAACCCCCCTTCCACCCTAGCACAGGTTCTTAGTTCACAAGAGTTATCTTACCTTGCGTCCAGGAAGACCAGGGGGTCCAGGGATGGAACCACCAAAGCCAGGTTCACCCTTCTGTCCAGGCATGCCCGGGGAACCAGGGTTTCCAGGGCCTCCAGGGAAACCTGGGTCACCCTTGAAGCCGGGTCCGCCTGAAAGGACAATTCATTGTCATCCAGAGCTTGTGTACATAAATCCATATCCACCATCATTTGCAATTTACTGAAGCAAAGTGTGATAATATTGTGACTCATACAAAAGTCCCATGGAACAAGAATCTTATCAAATATAAAAGAGATCCACATAACAAAGCGATGTAGTCACCAAACTGATTGTTCTTTCGTAAGTGTTCTAAGAGAAATACATGACAAGCAGAATAAACAAATGGTTTGTTCAGGTTTGAATCACTGGAAGCCATTTTGCTGAATTGTGGATTTCCTTACAATACTTGGTACTTCTCAAAAAACCTGCATGAAATTGAGAGATCTGGTAGCCACAACTTACCTGGTCGTCCGGGGATACCAGGTTCACCCTTCGCTCCGGGGAAGCCAGGTGATCCAGGTGAGCCGGGGATTCCACTCTCTCCTTTAGCGCCAGGGAAGCCTGGGGTACCAGGGGGACCACCCAGACCAGGGTTACCCTTGGGACCGGGCGGGCCGGGGAAGCCAACAGTACCAGGCTGACCATCCTGACCTGGAAGGGAGACATGTCATTGTATTATTGTATGTTCTAAAACATCCTTTTGCAATAGGTAGGGTGACATATTGTTGTTGTATTATTGTATGATACACAGAATGTTCTACAATATATGATTGTTTGATTACATCATTATAAACAGGCCTAGCAATTCAGCCTTCAACTGGCGAGTCACTCATGTTGTTGTTGATACAAGTAAAATTTATTGTTGTGAAGTTTCAGATTTGATGTACATGTAGAAGTAGAGCTTACAATTTTGACAAGACGGGACCAACAGTAGAATTCTGAGCTGCTGCACACACGTGTAAGTCCTAGCCCTTACCTGGGAATCCAGGGTCTCCCTTAGGTCCCATCAGTCCAGCAGGTGGCATCGGTCCAGGGGGTCCCATAGGTCCAGGGCCACCAGGGAATCCAGCCTCTCCCTTCTGTCCAGGGAAACCAGGGCCTCCAGGCAGACCAGGTCCGCCAGGGATACCAGGTTCACCTTAAAACAACAAGAAGCAGCTTTTTAGCATCTCAACGTTTAACTGGATAGTCATGGTAAAACATTTAACGCCATCAACATCTTCAGATGGTGATCTCATGATATTCTAATTAACAATGTACCATAATGATAGAGAAGCTCAGATAAATTTTCCTTTAACTGTATATGGTTACAAAGGGTACTGTACAGGCTACTGTACAGGCTACTACAAAAGATAGTTCCTCTTTGCATCCTGTAGAATTAAAATGTGTTATCTGCTTACCCTTAGGTCCACCAAATCCGGGGGATCCAGGGGGTCCCATAGGTCCAGGTCCACCAGGCAGACCCATTACACCCATCTCTCCCTTTGGTCCTGTAACAAAAAGCACAATTTATATCTACCAATCACACACACACACACACACACACACACACACACACACACACACACACACACACACACACAATGGGAATTCAAATTTCTTTCACTATATTAAAAAAATCTTTTTTCAATCATGACTAACAGAATACTTGTTTTAAGGCATGGAAAACCTGAAAAAAAATGCGACTGACTAACAGAAATAGAATTCTGTGTAGCAGGGACTTATTCTATCCCCATGTAACTATCTCACACTATCACTACAAATGTAGGTTGCTGCAATGCTGGCCCTAAGTAAAAGGGATGTGTAATGTACCAGGGAAACCAGGGCCTCCGTCCAGACCACGTGGTCCAGGCAGTCCAGGTGGACCGGGCAGGCCAGAGTCACCGGGAGCTCCATCGCGGCCAGGGTCACCCTTCGCTCCGACGCCGCCGAATCCGGGAAGACCAGGCTCTCCCTTCTGTCCAGGGAATCCACCGCCACCTGAAATAACAGAAACTTGTTAGAATCTTGTTTATGTGTTTCCAACTTGACGAGTAAAATTCTCTTTTAAAACTTCATTAGAACTAGATGTGCTGGTGTATTAGCCGAAGGGCGGTTATACCAGCTATACTGATACAGATAGACGTAAGGATTTTAAGGGCTAAAACACTGTTGTGGGCAGTTATATAGACTATAGCGATACACGTAAGGATTTCAAGGGCTATAACACTGTTGGCTAAAACACTTGTTTTTCTTACCAGGGGGTCCGGGAGGTCCAGGGGGTCCTTGAGGTCCAGGGAAGCCTCCAGAGCCACGTCCAGGCTCACCCTTAGGGCCAGGGAAGCCGTCCAAACCAGGGTTACCAGGCATGCCTGAGAACAAAAAGAAGAAACATGAGAATGAGAATGTTGTCTCCTGACCTGGTAAATGTTCTAATAAAAAAGGTAAAAAGCAGTTAAAACATGCTAGAACAAAGCCGAATTATTTGATGCAGAGGTGGTCATGGAAAATATCACGTTGAACTTGGACTTACCAGGAGGTCCGGGTGGTCCAGGGTTTCCGGCCGGTCCGAGTCCGCCAGGTCCACCAGGGAAACCGGCATCTCCCTTAGGTCCAGGGAATCCGTTGCCTCCAGGGGGACCAGGGGGTCCGGGAAGTCCACCGCCGCCGCTGAAGCCAGGCTCACCCTGTCGACACAAACAAGGGACCAAGTATTACACCAAATAGAAGAGTTTTCATACTGTATCATTTAGTCCCTAGAGACGTGTCTTCCCCAGAGTTATGTTTGCCCACATTTATCTAGTACAGATTTCTTTTTACATAATTTTCACACCCTTTGGATACAAACACGAAATCAAGTGTCATGTTAAATACAAGAGCTTCCATACTGTATAATTTAGTCATGACATGTTTCTTCTGACAGTCTTTCCCCCTAAAGTAATATTTTCCCACATTTCCGTAATTTTCACACTCTTTATCTCCCCAAAGAAGTACAGAAGAAAGGTGAACCATTACAAACCTTCTGTCCAGGGAAACCAGGGCCGCCTGGCTGGCCAGGGCCGCCGGGAAAACCAGGCTCTCCTTTCGGGCCGGGGAATCCAGGTACTCCAGCCTCTCCCTTAGCACCAGGCAGACCCTGCCCACCAGGACCAGTACCTCCGGGAAGACCAGGCTCACCCTTCTGTCCAGGGAAGCCATTACCACCGGGGGAGCCGGGACCACCAGGGCCACCTGTGGGTACACAACAACAACAACAACAACAACAACTTCATATACAGAACAATGTATGGGGTCTTTAACAGCAATTCTAGCATAGGAAATGCATCTACTTTACACTTTCGAGAGTACACAATGAAACTGCATACTGGGTTCTTGTGTACCATCCTTAATTTACTGTATCGGGATTACCATATCGTACAAAGCTGACACTGCTGATTTTGACAAAATTCTGATAGTTGACACAAGGAAGACTCCATCTCTTACCAGGAAGTCCAGGGGGGCCGTTCAGACCAGGGGGACCGGGTGGGCCAGGCAGACCAATAGGACCAGGTGGGCCTACCGTAGATGCACCGAAGGCAGGCTCTCCCTTAGCGCCTGGAAGAGGGACACAACAGAAAAAAAAGGTTTTTAATACAGTCTGTAAGACATCTTGCACATATCTTTGCTGTTCTTACTGCAGGGCGTAGTTTATCACTCTTGGAATCCCAACACAATGTAGACAATCTGCACATAACTGATTAATGTGAACTAGCCCCTGCGTTGGGAGTTGATCGCACTCTTGACAATGCGGAGACAGCCTGTCGAAGTCCATAATGCTACTACAGGTACTGTCTAGCATCCTGCATCAACCTCACCCCGTTACTGAAGGCAAAACAACTTTTAACAGAGAAGGAAGTCTGGAATGTCCTTACCTGGGAAGCCAGGAGTACCAGGGGATCCAGGGAAACCGGGGTCACCTTTGGCACCTGGGGCACCAACCCCACCGCCTAGCGCTATACCGGGTGGTCCCATTGGGCCGGGTCCACCAGGGTTACCAGGGGCGCCGGGTCCTCCGTCAAAACCAGGGTTACCAGGTTCACCCTAACAAACCACAACAGTTCATTTAGTTCAGCTACATTCTGTAAAAAACTGCACAATTTGGGCAGCATTTACACTATGAACAGAAATGTCACACAATGAAAACAAGAAAGGTTGCATGCAGTCACTTATTGACAAGAGCAATTTCAACACGAAAAGTCCAATGCCCATATTGGCAGGTTAAAAATGCAAGGATTGTTGCTTGTCCCTAGAAGGTTTAATTACATCGTGGTCATGACACACACCTTAGCTCCAGGGAAGCCAGGAGTTCCAGGTGGTCCAACCAGTCCACCAATAGCATCACGGCCAGGCTGACCAGGGGAGCCAGGAATACCAGGGTCACCCTTGGGTCCGGGGAAACCAGGAGTTCCCGCTACGGCAGGAACGAAGCCAGGTTCACCCTTCACACCAGGGAAGCCAGGGGCGCCAGGACGACCAGCAGGGCCCTAGTAACAAACAAACAAACATCAAACAAACAAAAAAAACATCACAACAGGCAACATTCTTGAGATATGAACATGGACACACTTACACTAGCAACATTATGTAATAGTTTTGAAAATGACACATGGCCATTTCAAATTCTTAAAATTAATGAGATGCCTCATGTAGCTTGATTTGGGGCTTTGCATACACCTTAAGAATGAAATGATGACCAAAATGTGCAATATCAGACAGATATTCACATCCAAGAAATTTAAGGCTGGCAAACTGTTATAGCATTGGATCCTGCAACATTGCATGCAGGGTATGCTGTTAACCCATGGGAGTGTCACCCACCGGTGGTCCATCCAATCCTCTTCCTCCAGGGAATCCGGGTTCACCCTTGGCACCAGGGAAGCCAGGAGTGCCAGGCTGTCCTCCTCCTACAGTCGGGCCGGGTGGGCCAGGGAAGCCACGGTCTCCTTTGGGTCCGGGGAAGCCAGGTGGGCAGCCGCCGCATGGTTCTCCCTTTGGACCTGTGGTGTAATTGTAGCTTTTGTTAGGGGACAAAAATTGTATCATTTCTGATGACTTGAGAGTCAACAGATAGAGTATCTGCAGCTACATGCAAGTCCTAAAAAATAGGATTCATGTGACGTAACGGTAGAGCGTTCGACTCAGAACCAAGAGGTCATGGGTTTGAATCCTGCTAAGTCGACAACTTTATGCACTTGTGAAAGACGTAATACACGACTAATCTAACTTTGCTCAGGTTAAAATGAGTATGCCAAAAGGATCATTATCATCATCGTGGGTATTAAAGGAAAACCAAACCAAAAAGTAACACCTGAGGGAAAGAAAGCTTACCAGGGAATCCAGGTGTTCCAGCTCCTCCGGGGAGACCAGGACCGCCGGGGCGGCCGGGTTCACCAGGGGGACCCATGGGGCCCTGTGGTCCAACTCCTCCAATAGCCTGACCAGGGGCACCAGGCAGACCTGAAAAGGGAAGAAAACATCTTTAAAATTCTCAACAATTCACAACAATATCTCTGCAATCACAACTGGCAACAGCAAGGAGAAAGTATGTCAAGAAAAAGGTCAAATTCAGCACATGAACAGCACTATATCTTCGAACTCACCACAACTGACTTGAGAATGCTTTCAACACAATTACCACGCAGATAGATGACTCACCGGGTGCACCAGGGTTTCCTCTCTCTCCCTTAGCGCCGGGGAATCCAGGACCGCCAGGGCGTCCAGGTGGACCTACACCGCCACCCATAGTCGCTCCGGGCGCACCAGGTTCTCCCTTAGCGCCGGGGAATCCGGGGCCACCAGGGGGACCCATGGGTCCGTCACGTCCAGGGGCACCTGTTGTTATACACAAGTACATCTTTTAATACTCAACTCACACACCCAAACCAGTGGCTCTGACCACTAGAAAGCTGCAAACTACAGAGTTTAGGAAAACAGGCCGGTTTTATGTCTGTGTACTGCTGTTCTAAAGAGTCATGTTGCATCACTTTTTTCAAATCTTGCAGCATTGTGACATGTTTCCACAACTGTTTAAATGTTCCTGGTGGAGAATAAAGTGAAAACAGCAAGTACGTCCAATGTATCCAGACTTCCAGTATTAGCAGCATAAACAGTGTGATGAGATTGTACCTGGGTTTCCAGGGGGGCCAGGGAAGGATGCACCACCAGTTGCAGGGCGGCCAGGCGGGCCAGGAGTACCAGCGGGTCCGGGGTAACCCTTGGGGCCGCCGAAGCCGGGGAGACCAGGCTCTCCCTTCTGTCCAGGGAATCCAGCACCACCAGGGTTGCCTGGCGCACCCTGAGGTCCAGGAACAGGCCTGCCACCAACTGAAGCCGTACCCTACAAGATGGGAGATACAGACATTTGTTACTTCCTACATGTACATGTACAGACTGTGTAAATAATAAGAAGTACAATATCAGGAATGTTTATCAGACATTGTTGTCTTGCAAACCAACCTCAAAATATATGTTACTACATTTCCATTGTTATGTTGGCTTAAGGAGAAAGAGACATACAAAGTCATCTACTTACAGGTGATCCACAATATCAGAAATGCTTCCCAGACAATGTACAAATCTAATTGGTAAATGACTCCCCTCTTCTCCCTTTTCCTCTCTAGCGACTTTTACTTGAACCAACCTCAAAATATATACAACATCACAAGTAAATTGGCTACAGGAGGGTGAGATATTCAAAGTCGTCTAGTTACAGGTGCTCCAGGTGCTCCAGCCCGTCCAGGCACGCCAGGTTCTCCCTTCTGTCCAACAAAACCAGGGCCGCCAGATCCACCAGGCGCACCAGGGTCACCTTTTTGTCCCTAAGAGGAGAATATTATACTTGTCTTAGAAGAACAGCAGGACTTGCAACTTAAGGTTCACAATATGAAAAACAACATTAACAACAATCCACCTAGACCACACAACAGAGACAATATCGGTAGCTGAATCACAGACATCTAAATACAAAGCATGCACTGAAGCAGCAGGCAGATGTTTTTTAAACAAAAATTCCATTTTAAAATTGCATCAAAACAAATACATGTACTAGAGGCTTTTCGTGAGAAACCTTAATACAACTGGCCAATATTTATGTCCATCTAATGTAAGTGTAAACCAGTTATCCTCAAGGGAAAGAGGAAGCAAGTGAATAACGTTTTAACAACACAACTCCACACCACACCTACTGTGAGAGGTGCCTAAAGACAGGGACTGGTGCTACTTACGTTGAAGCCAAAAGGTCCAGGGGGTCCAGTTTGGCCAGGCAGACCCTGTGAGTGAACGAGGACAGACACCGTGAACGTGAACATTTCACATCAACACATCTACCCTTTACTCACATTAAAGCCAAAAGGTCCTGGCGGCCCATCCTTGCCAGGCTTACCCTGTAGGTAAATAGTTAGATCAGGCACCCATGCATTCATGCATTATATGAGCAAGAAAAATTGTTCAACATCCCTGTACATATCAAAATGTAACATCATTTTATCATTTTGTACATGGTGCTGAGACAGGTTGTTGTGTTAAAATACAAATATGTATGTAACACCCATTATGTTTGCATTCTCACTTAACTAGTCACATGGAGAATAACCAAAAAGTTAGAGAACATCAAATGCATATCATTTGGACACAGTATATTCAGAAGGAAAAGAAAAAAAGTCATGCCACTTAGTCAGTATTAGTCCACTCCTGTAATTGAAAAAGGAGTAGTCATCTAGCTTTCCAGGGCAGAACTATAGTGCATGTTTCACAAATACAAATGTACATGAATGACATACTCAGTTTCCTTAACGAAGAAGTTACAACATTCATATTACCTATTAGTGAAAAATTCAATTGTTTTTAATGTTGCAAAGAATGGTTGTTATTCAAGGGAATAACTCAGGGAACACTAACAAATCTTGCCAATGAGTTAATATCAGCCACCAAGAAAAGTTCAAAGGCCTCAAAGATAATGCCATTAAGTGTAAAACTGATTTTGTCCATGCTAATTACTATTCATGAGCAAGATCACAATGAACTCCAGGAACAGACAAGCTCGGTACTTACAGGTGGTCCGGGGATGCCTGGTTCTCCCTTCTGGCCCATACCGCCGACAGCTCCAGGTAGGGGCGCTGGTCCTGATATTGTCTACAGTTCCAGAATAAACCATTGTTTACACGAGGACAACAACATACAGTAGTTAACTTACAGGACTTCCCGGGCGGCCAGGTTCACCTTTTTGCCCTCTTTGCCCCTGGGGTGTCGGGTAGCCAGGACAGCCCACTGGACAGCCATAAGGGCAACCAACAGATGGACAGCCGCCTCCTGACTGTATGCAGGAGAATCAAACATCAAGTGCAACCTGTCATGCAACAATGCCTCCAGGACAATCGGGGTACAATTTGGGGACTACAGCTAAGTCATAGTACCTCTGTCAGTAACTTTGTATATGAGGTTAAAACATAATGTCAATTGAGTTGAGTTTGTTGTCATAGTACTTCTGTCAGTAACTTTGTTACAAATCCAAGATATGAGGTTAAAACATGTCAATTGAGTTGAGTTTGTTAAATGCTGGTAAATTAAGTCGGGACTGTGCGGTGTATGGCCTTTAATTCTGTGATGGGCTGTGGTCTTGTGATTGGTGCTTTCACAATTGAACAAGTATGCAGAGGAACTAGTCTGAAAACAGGAGGTATGTCTTATGGACCTTTCTTCAGATTGTGGCCATTGTGGATTTCAGCATTTGTCAAAAACCAAACAAAGTTTCACAAATCTTGTTTCCTTCCAAAATCCAAAATCAATAAGGAGTTTTGATGAAGATGCAATGTCCAAAACATCAGGTGTGGAAACAATATAATAATAACCATGCCTGGCTTACGATTGATATACATGTAATTACAGTTCATTTAGAACCACTTGTCAGAAGATATGCACAGTGTGTAGTCGTGTGTAACATGTTGGATGTCAGAATCATTGTCACAACAACAAACGTTAGCAGGGCCAACACAGTTACGAACAAAAAGCCAGCAATAGCCTGATCATTTGCCTTTCACAAAGCTTGCCAACTTTTACGAGCATATAACACAGTCTGAATGGTAGACAATGACAGGCACGACAATGACACGTGACAGTTTTACACATGTAAATGATTAATGATGGCCATTGTTAGATGATCAGATGATCTCTATGATAAAAAATGTACTTGACAGATGGAAATGCCAGATGTGACAGAAACAAGGTTTAACTTTGTACGAATTATGGTCCTCTACACCATTTAGCTTCTTATGTAACACCAGGAAACATTTGTGAAATGAAAACTCTCAATTTCTTACTTGGGTGAAAACATTAATGTGATAAGTTTTAGTACATGAAAAATTTTGTACAAACTAAATAAATATCTTAAAAAAAAACTAGATCAAGCTCTTTCAATTTTGACAAATTGTTAACAAGCAAACATGGCTCAAATCATGATCAGCCAGGATATTTTCTTAGTGAAATCTTTCAGGAATGTTTAAGTATTTCTTTTAAACAAATAAATCTTTTGTTTTAGGACCCCTGCTTCAATTAAACTTCTACCAGGAAGGAAATTCCATCTTTTGGAGAGGGGTACATGAGGGGAGGCATTGTGTAATAATTAATGATGACAGCTGGTTGCAGTTGATGTTGGATGCTTGCCCGGGAGCCGTATACATAAGCCACTACAAGCTAGGACAAAGCCATGCACTGGCGCCAGCAGGACACTTCTCTGCGCTAGAAAACTGGAAAAAGCAGACATCAAGCAAACATAAAGCTCAGACAGTCATGTGCGTTTGGGTATTTCATTCCTAATACTACTTGACAAATATCTGTATCTGTTTAACACATCAGCTAAATCATTGTAATATCTGACACAGGTATGTTACAAACAACAAACCTGACATGTTATGTCTCACAATCACATAAATGGACAGCAATGTTTTCAACCTTTTCTCTTACCTTCCTTAAAAAGATAGTTGCCTTGGCTACCTTTGATCAAGTGTGCATTTTAAAACTTAAGAGTTAGAGACAGTTCAGTAGCTTTGTCACATCTGTATTTTGTACCATGTCTTACAAGTCAAACAACAGGACGTTTAGTGTCAATTGTGATGATGTATGCACTTACGGCACCAGGGGGTCCGGGCAGGCCTGGCTCTCCCTTCTGGCCTTGGAAACCAATGGGTCCCTGAAAACACACAACATTGTTACAATTATGTCACATGCTAATTATTTACCTGCGTACAAGATTTCAATAGATTGACAGGAGAAACAAGAAACATTCATTCCCAATGTTGAAAAAGTACAAGGTGATCATGAATGAAAAATATTCTATGGTCCTTTACTGTGGCATTTTGTAGTCATCTTTTGGTAAAAACACGTAACAAAGTTGCATTGTCATGAAATATGTAGAATACAAATACTTACTGCTGCTCCTGGTTCACCCTTTTGTCCTTGTGAGGGCTGAAATGGTTTTTGGGAAAAAGAACAGAAAAAGAAAGTTACCAACTAAGCTTTAAGAAATACCATTCACAGTCTATACCATTTTGCTTCAGCATTTGTAAGCCTGTTAAGATAGAAATCATAAATCTAAAAGTCTCTGCATAACCAGTACCTAGTATGTATACAGTACATAGTATGTAGATTTTTCATGGTTGTCTTGTACCTTTGAAAAAAGACTACAGACTAGAGCCATTTGTGTAAACTAAAATGCAATAAAACTTACGAAGATTTGTCCGGGGAGTCCGACTTGCTCTCCTAGAATGCCAGGGGGTCCAGGTGGGCCGGGTAGACCACTCTCTCCCTTCGCTCCCTTTGGTCCTTGGAAGCCCAAGCCCATGTCACCCTTCTCTCCTTGGAAGCCTCTAGGTCCAGGGAAACCCTAGAAAAAAAAAAAAAAAAAGAAACGAAATGCAACTCAGTTTCTAATTCATGCTGCTTGAGAATGGTACTTAACTTCTTAATGACCAAAAAAGGCATAAGAAAATTGAAATTTGGTTCACCTTTTGGCCTTGAACTCCAGAATCTCCTTGTGGTCCAGGAAGTCCGTTAAGTCCAGGTGGGCCCTGCGATAATAAAGAACATTTCATTTCAGGTCTCTCTGTAACCATCATAATCAAATAAGTACCACCAAGTACAGGTACTAGAGGAATTTGAAGAGCCATGTTGAGGGAAATTCATATGAAGTTGACAAGTACTTACAGGTAGTCCGTTTCTGCCGACATCGCCTCTGTCTCCCTAAAAGCACAAAAAGTTTACTTGGTTTATGCTCAATTCTATCGTCATACACATGAATTTTGAAAGAAACGAAGTCGTATTTCCTTTAAGTGAACAAAATGGATCTGAAGCTGACGTAACATACCTTGATCCCTTCTCCAGCACCACCAGATTCACCTGGCTCACCCTTTGGTCCGTCAAGTCCAGGCAAACCCTGCAGACAAGGAAGGCAAGTATGTTTTAAAGCAAACGTCTCCGCCCCTGAGGTGTTGTCAAAATTCAGTAAGAATCAAAGAGAAGAAACTGAGAAGCATGAAGATTATTTCTTTAAATTCTTACCGGATCACCAGATCTTCCTGCAGGGCCTGGTGTGCCTCTGGGTCCAAAATCTCCCTGTAAGAAACAAGAGACACTTTAACAGGCTGCTTAAGGTTCACATAATGCTAAACGCAAGTGTCAAGTGAGTATCGATGTTCAAGAGTTGAATCAGGGGTTTTTTCATCATATCAATTTTGTTACACATAACAAAACATCCTCTGAAAAGCTCTTTCCTGCATTGAGTGGCAAATTTTGCTGATAGGCTAACCTTAGTTTAATGACATATCTTTCTACATCTTTACATGCTGATTGTTTGAAGAAAAGTACATTTAAAGAGACTAATGTACAGTACTTGTTATGTTACATACTTTTGTTCCATTGCAGCCATCCAGTCCAGGGGGACCCATGGGTCCTTCCAATCCTGGCAGACCCTGAAAGTAGGAAAAATTAAATTAGGATACAAACACTACATGTACGTAGTAATAGTAACCTTTACACAAGAATGCACTTACTAGCAAGACTGCATACAATACATTACAATAGACATGTAAAATTTCTATCAAAGCTAAATACAAAACACACTTACTGGAATTCCTGGGACACCAGCAAAGCCTGGAATACCTTGTGCACCCTTCGTAAGGAAAAATAAAATTAACTTCAGTCATCAACATCAATCTCAAGCATTTCAAGCAGTGATGCAATCCATAATGCATTTGTATTAGGCAAAAAGCTTTAACAATAGTCAAAATGTCAGAACAAAGCTAAAACATGGACTCACCCTGATGCCCTTTGGTCCCATAGAGCCCTGATTTCCTCTTCCTCCCTGGATAAAATAAAAAACAAACATTTTCAGTTTTCAAGAATTACCTTCACACTCAGAGAGACTAGCATTAATTTCAAAATATTTTGCTTATACATATATTCCTCAATGTATCTGTATGATACTTTGCGGCAAAGCTATTTCTGCTGGGAGGTAGTAATTTTCTTGTCAGTCAGTAGGTGTACAGCAAAATCATTAGGCCCGCTTTAGACTGGTGATCATAATGGCACTACTTCACTACCGGTGACAGTTGTCTTTAGACACATGGGTAGAAGCGCAGGGGGCCGCCCGTGGCCCGGGATATTGCACGTCAAAACGGCGGGGAAGAGCTGTTTATCTTCGTCTTGCCACAGCTCATGTTTTCAATGTTTGCTACCCACGTTTTCCAGCATACGAGACACCGTGTACTCGCCCAACAAAGAGGGAGGATGAGGCACATGCACAGGGCCAGGCAATAACCCGGCTTCTTCCCCACGCTGGTCGGGTGCTCCAGACCCTTCACTGGCCTTCTGCCATCCCATACGGAAATACAAATTCGACATTCAAAAAGGGATAGATATGTGGCACTCAGTGAAGTAAAAAATGGCACAGCAGAGCAGAAAGTTGTACAAGTTATGGGCTTGCCATCAGCGAAGTCTTTGCACACGAGGAGCCATCACGGCCCCCTGGATGAAGGGTAGTGGGACCGGCAGGTGTGGACATATCATTTTGTGAAAAAAAATATCACATGGCCCCTTTTATCTCTTTAGACCAGTAATGGTTGAACATGCGACAGCTTTTTACCCATCACCAGTCTAAGTAAAGCGGGCCTTAGCTGGCTACATTTACAATCTTTGGCAGCAAGAACGTAACAAGTTACACTATCTAGAGTATAGACAGCCAAAATAAGCAAAGTTTAATCCAGAAGTCTTTCCATGCCACATGTTACTGGTGGTTAGGAGTCAAAACAGGATTTTTCCTGGCTGTTTTTGATTAGCTAAGCTTTTCAGGAAATTGTGTTGGTAAATTAGCAATGCGGAGAGTTATATCAGTAACTAACATCAATTATGAATAGAAGATTTCTACTTGCATAAGCCTGAAGCTAAAGAAGTAGTACATATGTTATTGAGTTACTCTCCTGAGAACTGTCCTGATTAAAAATCATTCCAAACACATGTGATTATGCAGTGACCATTTGGAAAGAGTTAAACAAATTGGTTTGATTGGGATAGCCAATTATTATGAGGTTTCTTAGAACAGCTTTAAGTCTACCAAGAAGACAACATGAAGCACCTTTGCTCCTAAATATTTCAGTTCCACAAATCAAATGTCTCTTTATGTACATTGTACAAATCTTTGTGTTTGGTAGGAAGTTTATCATTATGTGCAATAATTCTAATATATACCAAAAATGAGATTATCCCTTGACTTATATACAAGACAGTCTGTTTTAAGGCTTCCTCTAGTAGTAGGGTTAGGCAAAACACATATGGTACTTTCTGCGATGTACAGAAGTAGGGTTAGTCAGCCAGGGGAAACAGTCCTGTCCTCCATGTCAGGAGGCTGCCTTTGGCTAGTTAGGCAAAAGTGTTCTCATCTTCCAGTTAATACATGGTTTCAATCATACAACTGACTATACAATTACATACTGAGTAAGATCACTCGAGATCTGTATTGTCTTTCTAACACATTGCCTTCTCTTGAGAGCTTTCTTTTGTGAAAAGTGACTGCACTGCCTTGTGAATGTCTGCAAGACAGTGGCAATTCATTTGGGGGGTATAATATTAATAATCTGCATATTCTACTTACAAGTTACAGTATCTTCTCCTTAAATAGAAAGGGAGGGTGTTGTGGGCTTGCATTTGTGCCAAGGTGTGTAATTTTATTACAATGGTTCCAGTCTCAAGTAGATGGCTAGTTAGAAGGTGTGCATTCTGATGTCCAGAGTAAGTTGACATGCAGTCTTCTTATCGTGTCAACTGCTTGACCTTACATACAAATTTGGTGTTAGTTCATTACACCAGATTTCAGAGTAACATTTCGGCTTGACAAGGGGGTTCAACATTTGACCCCAACATGAGGTTGAGGCAACTTGATACAACAAAAAGAGAAAATACTGAAAAAGGTTTTCTTCATGTTGCATTGCATGTACAAGTAGCTGGTGACTAAATTGACAAGTATGTAACTTTTACTTTTGAGTACACAGAAAGACCACTTTTGTTCATGTTGTGGTCTGTAATTGCACTGAAAGGTGTACCCTCAGTTCTGCCTGCAACCATAACCCAGGTTGCCACATCACCAGTTCCCAACAATCCTTTGGCCACAGGAAATAGGAAACATATGTCTGAGAGATATGCTGTGAATTCTATTGGAGATAAGACCTACCCAGTCTGAGAAACTTGGGTAGTGTTCAATTAGGCCGAAATCCGAAACTTTGGGCTAAAAAGATTGGCTTTATAAATCTAGACTGCACTGGAAAGTTCATCACAACTTCTTGTATTTTATTTTCCTGATAGAACCATGCAAGTAACTTTGCATGCAGCAAGAGCAAGCTCGTCTTTGCATGCAGCAAGAGCAAGCTCATCTTAGCATGCGGCAAAGGCTGACATCACCAAAACTACAGACTTCTTTCCAGAAGGTTTTTCTCTAAATGATCTCTTCTAGTGTGAAGTTACTGTATTCTGGACACAACATGTAAGAATTGTTGTTGTCTTTACCACTAGTCCTTTTGGTCCGGGTGGTCCCTCTAGTCCTTGGAAGCCTGGTAAGCCGGGAGGTCCTTGTAGACCTGGTAGTCCTCTTTCACCCTACAGACAGACAACACACAATTAGTGATGCTCAGAAGTGCTCTTTAACAAGGTACGACATTTAACACAACTAAAACAAAGCTAAACTATACTGGTAACACTTTTTAAAAAAAGAATGGAGGATTGAGTTATGCGTCTACTAACCTTGATTCCTTTCGTTCCATTGCAAACACATTTTCCAGTACAGCCTTCACATGCCTGCAATGCACAGAGATGGAAATATTACAACACAAAGTAGGAGTTAACATTCTTATCAAAATGAAAACTTGATACACAGCAATTGATAATGATTCCACGCACATTACAAGTTTAAAACAAGTTACAGTCAACATTCATTTAACAGATCATCATCAATACTGTCAACTTCATCATAAACTAAAACATCATCAGTTGCAGTATGTTTGTGAAGCCCCGCGCATTCCTGAGACGAAGTGTAAGGAGAATTTTTAAGACCTTACAGCGAGAAGTTATTAGCCATGTGTGGTTTTTGGTTGTAAGATTTATTTTACACAAGGACTGCATTTAGTTAAAATGAATAGATACAATGAGAATATGATTTCTCGTATATTAGCTGGATGAAAATTCTGATCTGGAACAAGTCTGCGTAGATCATGGGAAAGCATCTATGAATGTATGGCAGAACAAAACTAAAGAACAGAACCAGGATAATTTATATCCATCCTAATCTGACCCAGCTTTCTGGTTATTTCAAATCCAAGCCCATTAGCATCACCCTGTTTGTAGGTCAGGGTTCTGGGACCTGTCAGACCACAGTGGGACATACAGTTAACCTGGCCACTTTGGCCAGGCTGGGCTTACCAAAAGGGACTTCTTAGTACTGACACTGCCATCTGGGCTACAACCTTTTTTTTTCACTCTCTCCCTTTCCATATATATATATCTGTCTTTTCGCCACCTAGTCTCCCCTGAGCGTGCCCTTTTCCCTTCCTCTTTTCATTTCCATCTCTCTCTCTCCCTTTCTCTCTCTCTTTCTTTTTTTTCTGCCACTCAGGGCTCCAAGTTCGCCCGCACCGTGTTTGGGCTTTCTGTTGAAGTTTGTCCAGGGCTTGTGGTCTGGGAGCTTTAGCAGGCAGCACATCTATGTTAGCAGTAATAGGATGTACTCTACTATTTGAGTCTAACTGCCTAGCTTTGAAGAACCCTTCCCAAGCTGGGCTTACCAAAACTTCTTTCTGACACTGCAATCTGGGCATCTGAGTTCAAGCTTTCTGTTGAAGCTTCAGGCAGTTTGTCCAGGGCTTGTTTGCCTGGGGGTTTAGCGGGCAGCACATCTATGCTTGCAGTATTAGGGGACGTAGCTACATCTAGCTTTGAAGAACCCTTCCCTGGCTGCCTGTGAAATGTGCACAAGAGTGTTTCTGATTACCTCCTGACCAACAGACAGCAGGAACTGGGAGTGGGGCCAACAGGGGGCCACCAGGTTGATAAAGTGAAAGACACAATATTTGTGGCCAAAAGTAAACTGGAAACCTTGGCAGTGAACCATAGTGACCACCTGCAAAGATCAGTGGTCTAATGAACCCAGTTCTACTTCCCTCCTGCCTTCCTCTACAGTCCTTTGTGTAGCAAATCAAGTTGCCTTGGAAGATGTACTAGTAGATTATGGTGCATTGACACGCGCTGAACTGAAAAACCTTTCCTTCTAGATACTTATTTGAATAAAACCAAAAAAGGAAGGAAGATAGGGGCATCAACCTTTAACCTTTCCTAATAACTTCTGGCAAGTTCTGCTGAAAGATAGATGATAGCAGGGAGGGAGTTTAAGTAGGAACAGACTTAAGGGTCATGGTAACAAATGTTTTTTTTTTGTCCTTTGACTGTCCCACATTCAAAATAGAACTAACTTTTATTCCTGATTTAGTGTGTTAAATCAACAGAAAGAAGAGATTCCTTAGTCAGTATATGGCGTCTTTCACAACATTACTTGTTTTTATGCACTTTAACTTTTACTACATAGTACCATACCACTGTAATAGCCTATCCTAAGGACGGTAAGAGGACTCCTAACTGGAGAAAATTGATGGAACAACTGGGCAACATGAATGACACTCCTGGTGCTGAAGGCATACCAACTCCAGTCATCACTTGGGAAACATAACACAAAAATAGCAACTTGAGAATCTTAATAGATCCATGGGATGTCAAAAAGGCCTCAAACTAGAGATAAAGATCCAAGTTATCAACATATCCAGGAAGCAAGGCCGATAAGTTTCAAGACTGTGAGGCTGGAGACAAATCCTGCTATAGTTCTAGGCCCTGGGCACATTTCAACACAAAGGTTGCAATTAATGAGGGAATGACCATTGAGGACAAAGGTCTATGTTCATGTTCATGCATAACTCTTCATACATGTATAGGATGGCATATGCATGGTGGTATCTACCATGTAACATACTTTACAATGGTGCATGATATCTTGTCATGATTCTCCCTCACTTTCCACTGTCCAGAAAAGTTGGTCATTAGAGGCTTTAGATCCAAGTTGATCCGGAGGTTTAGCGGATTGTCATCCCGTGCTATGTAGAGGATTGCTGCTTGACTAATGATGGCCACAACAGAGATACCTTGGGTTCATCTATGAGCTCCTTGTAATCTTTTTGATAAGTTATCACTAAACCTGACCCAGTTTGGAGAATGATGGCACCAACAGCCTGTAGTAGGACTCTTTGAAATCTACAAACTCCACTGACAAGGACAGACTGATTAATGGCACCATAATCATATATTGGACTGACATAACAAAATGCCTTCCTTTCAATCTTCTATGAGTATGAGGAAAAAGGTCTTAAACTACTTGTACAAGGCAAAGAAGAGCCAATGGGAAACTGGTAAGTATTGTTTGAACAATCAATTTTTTTACGTGATTCTCGTTGCCAATGTTGTCCTTTCAATGAACCAAGTTGGCTGATTGGTTAGTTTACGAGTTAGCATTACTTAATGAGAGGCCTTCATCAATTAAATATTCTCTGGTACTGATTAAGACTGTCCAAACATCAAAGAATTTTTCTTCGAAACCCAGACAGTACAAAGACTTATCAATCCCATACTTCCTGAGCTTCCTCAGCCAACATTTCCTGGAGGCAGATAAACCAGAGACATAAGGTTTCAACATAACACACACACACATCACATGGCCCAGTCTTCACCCCAGTTATGTTGCAGGCTGACCATGAAGACATTTACCTAACATTGACATTTGCTGAGTTCCTATAAACAAATCAGGTTTCGCACACTGAGATGTCTAAACCATCCAGGGATCCACAGGTGAAAGACAAGCCTGTGGGGTGATGATGTCAGCCAATGGGAAGACATTCCTGGAGCCTACCCTGTAAAGACCAGAGGGTGGCACAGCTGGTGCAGGGATTTTCAGCCACATATTGAGATTTCTCAGAATCACAGTCACCTAATTGACTCCAAACCCAGTGTCCACCACAAGAGGGCATGACCCTACAGATTGTTCTCTGGACACCTCTTTTCTTCTAGTTCTCTTGAAGATAGCAACAAGTTATCGTTTGCTCTTTTGAGCCCCCCCCAGCCCCTCCCCTACAAAGGTGATGGGTAAAAATAGCACCCAGGTTCAGCTTTTGCCCTCTAGAAAACCCTTCTTGACCCAGCTAAGGAAGGAGGGCTTGGGTTCCTGGCTTGTCTGTGGAAATGATTTTAGGAACTGGCCAAGCTCCAGAAACCTTATGTTCAACCCAAGATCCTTCCGAAAGCCCGGTATTCTTCAGAAAACCCTAGTAACCCCTTTGAAAAAGCTCAGTGTCAAAAGGGTCATGCTCTTGTTTTGAACACACTTTACCAGCTGGCAAAACACACTTATGAGCCTTCCTTACATCATTTTCAGACTGTGGTTTGGATGACCACACCCACCTGCCCTGTGGTCAGTATCCTTTCCAAACTGACCACATAGCCTCCCCACAAGCCATCAAGGACAAATACTTGTTGGCTATTAATCTTTTTTATCTTGCTAATGTAGTGAGAGCACTGGTCAACCCGGAGCCTGCAAAAACTTAGGGTACATGTGGGACCAATGTCGAAGGGGGGAGGGTTCACTCTTAGCTTCATCGACATGGTCCAATGTCAGGTTTCTACCTTGACATTGCTCCATTTCTCCCCCTCAGAAACTGAACAGGTCAGTTATATATCACATTCCAATCTCAGCACTTTTCAAATTTGGGGAATTTTTTAATGTTTTGGTACCAAAAGCTTCAGCACAAGTTATGAACTTCAGAAAGGCCGCCTGTAAAGGGAGGCTTTATAATTGAAGCAGACTCAGGTAGGGTTAACGTCCTCTTTGTGTTTCTACCAAAATGCAACCAAATTGGAAGCAGGTTGAGGGTTCTAGTTGGCATTTGACCTTCCCAAAGTTTATCAACCTTTACCCTATAAGCAAGGTCATGTGACTTGGTGTACGTGCATCTGGTCACAAGCTTTATGGATCCCTCACCTGTACCTAAGGAGATAGCACCACCACAGTTTAGTGCCATGAGTCACCTTTTAAAAATTGTCCTAGTTGTCCTAGTACACACAGATATATACATATTGCCTTTGACATCATTAGCAACTTCCTCTAGTTAGTATGTCAGTTTGAAATCAGTAGGTTTTTTTTATTGCCAATGAGTTTGTCAGTTTTAATTGGCCTTGATACTGAAAGTTCTAATCAATAGAGTTCAGCGTTTATTGTGAACCCGCCCCATATGGGAGACTATCATCTTCCAGCTGTCCTGCACATAAAGCTAAATGCAATTATAAAAGGTTTCCGATAAGAAGGCAGGGGTCAGGGGCAAGTAATCAGCTGACTTAGCACTACCTACATACATCAGTCCCCTTATTTTGACTGACCAGGCAGGGTGAACTTCCTGAATAACATATTAAATTTCTTTTGCCCCTCCCTGATAAAATACTGTACATCACATAATACTTGCTGTAATTTTATCCATGCACTGGGAACGACCTAAAACTTGAATGTCTGGAACTCATAGCACAGTGATCATGAGTTCTGACCCCCTCCCGAAACATTACCTAAACACATTACAAACTTTGAACTAAGAACAAGTTCTTCACCCTCCCACAGCAAAATTTATGTCCCCTCAAACTTAAATCAGTCTACAGTATAGCACAAGACACACAGGCTGGACAGCTTTTGTAACTGTGCCAGCCGTACTGGATCGTCT